GAGAGCAAGAGGAGAGAGAGAGCAGGAGGAGAGAGGAGGAGAGAGCAGGAGGAGAGAGCAAGAGGAGAGAGGAAGAGGAGAGAGAGAGCAAGAGGTGAGAGCAGGAGGAGGAGAGAGGAAGAGGAGAGAGAGAGCAAGAGGAGAGAGAGAGCAAGAGGAGAGAGGAGGAGTGAGCAGGAGGTGAGAGCCGGAGGAGGAGAGAGGAAGAGGAGAGAGAGAGCAAGAGGAGAGAGAGAGCAAGAGGAGAGAGGAAGAGGAGAGAGAGAGAGCAAGAGGAGAGAGGAGGAGAGAGCAGGAGGTGAGAGCAGGAGGAGGAGAGAGGAAGAGGAGAGAGAGAGCAAGAGGAGAGAGGAGGAGAGAGCAGGAGGTGAGAGCAGGAGGAGGAGAGAGGAAGAGGAGAGAGAGAGCAAGAGGAGAGAGGAGGAGGAGAGAGCAGGAGGTGAGAGCAGCAGGAGGAGAGAGCAGGAGGAGAGAGCAAGAGGAGAGAGAGAGCAGGAGGAGAGAGGAGGAGAGAGCAGGAGGAGAGAGCAAGAGGAGAGAGGAAGAGGAGAGAGAGAGCAAGAGGAGAGAGGAGGAGAGAGCAGGAGGTGAGAGCAGGAGGAGGAGAGAGGAAGAGGAGAGAGAGAGCAAGAGGAGAGAGGAGGAGAGAGCAGGAGGTGAGAGCAAGAGGAGAGAGGAAGAGGAGAGAGGAGGAGAGAGCAGGAGGTGAGAGCAGGAGGAGGAGAGAGGAAGAGGAGAGAGAGAGCAAGAGGAGAGAGAGCAGGAGAGATGTACTACTATGTATGTATGTATGTGTGTGTGTGTGTGTGTGTGTGTGTGTGTGTGTGTGTGTGTGTGTGTGTGTGTGTGTGTGTGTGTGTGTGTGTGTGTGTGTGTGTGTGTGTGTGTGTGTGTGTGTATGTATGTGTATATGTTTGTGTGTATGTATGTATGTGTATATGTTTGTGTATATGTTTGTGTGTATGTATGTATGTGTATATGTTTGTGTGTATGTTTGTGTATATATGTATGTGGGTTTGTGTGTATGTATGTATGTATGTATGTGTGTGTGTATGTATGTATGTGGGTGTATGTATGTATGTATGTATGTATGTGTGTATGTATGTATGTGGGTGTATGTATGTGTATATGTTTGTGTGTATGTATGTATGTGTGTATGTTTGTGTATATGTTTGTGTATATATGTATGTGGGTTTGTGTGTATGTATGTATGTATGTATGTGTGTGTGTATGTATGTATGTGGGTGTATGTATGTGTATATGTTTGTGTGTATGTATGTATGTGTGTATGTATGTATATGTTTGTGTGTATGTTTGTATGTATGTGGGTTTGTGTGTGTGTATGTATGTATAAATGTATGTATGTATGTGTGTATGTGTGTGTGTGTGTGTGTGTGTGTATGTGTGTGTGCACTTGTTTTCAACTCCTGGTGGGTTCCATAACCTGAGATTCCACTCACGTCATGGGGACTGGTTTTACGTGGTGGGGCCCGAACACCGGACCCCACTGGTCCAAGCTTAATAATCAATGGGTAATGCTTTTCTAACGGTCCTTATGCAGTCTCTGTAAAAATATGGAAAGGACCCCTGGAGGTTTACTTTCCTGAAAAAAGTGTGTTATGTGTCGGAACCCTGGTGGTGGGTTGCGGGATATCAAGGAGGGGCACACTGGGGCAATTTCAGTCCAGCAGGCTGGAGCCAATCATGGAGCAGCACAACAGAGGAAATCAGGTGTCAGGCTAGAAAAAGGTGCAAGTGTGTGGTTCATTAGGCTGCAAGAAATCATGGAGGAGCACACTGAAGCGCACGCTTACAAACCACTGGTAAGTGCTGACTACAAGTCATGACTTCAAATTGTTATATAGAATGATTACAAATTATTTGTTGTTTGTGCAGCTTAGTCAAGAGTCCCTAATTGATGAAGTCGACTCAGATTCTGACGATTTAACTGTCAAGAAGAAACCTGTAAAAAAGTATGGAAAAAGAAAAATCAAAAACACTTTTCTTCAAGACTCGGAAAGTGACGAACCAAAGGCAAATAAGATTGTTATCATGCAGCTGCAAAAGAAGAAAAATGGGGGGCGAGTATACAGCAAGAGACACTTCTGCCTCTACTGTTCAATGTCCTGCCACAAAATGTCCCGTCATTTGACTAGAAAACATGGAAATGAAAGTGACGTAGCCAGAGCATTGGCTCTACCTGTGAAATCTAAAGCACGTAAACTTCAGTTTGATTTGATCAGGAATAGTGGAAACCGTGAGCACAATTTTGAGGTTTTAAAGGCCGGCATTGGAACTTTAGTCCCAGCTAAACAGCCAAATTCCCCAGTTAAATCCAGTGAGTTTTTGCACTGTATAGACTGTGGGGCATTGCTTAAGCGAAAGTCGCTGTGGAGGCATGTGGCCAGGTGCCGGCTTTCACAGAAAGATGCCCAGGCTAAACCAGGTAGAAGTAGGGTCCAGTCCCTCTGCTCCCTAGCCCAGCCTGTACCGGAGGGCATCAGCAAAAAGCTGTGGTCTTTAATTTCGGCAATGCATCAGGATGAGGTCACGGGTGTTGTCAAAGCAGAAAAGGGGATTCTGAGACTCGGAGAGCACCTGTACTTAAAACACGGGCATGATAAGACAAAGCATGATTACATTAGGCAGAAAATGAGAGAAGTCGGTAGGTTAATTAACGAAGCAAAAACCGCAGGGAAACTGAAAACAATTAAGGATTTCTTTATTCCTTCCAACTTTAACCATGTGATTGATGCAGTCAGGTCTGTGGCTGGATATGATGAGGAAACAAATCAATACAAGACTCCATCCTTGGCCCTCAAACTCGGCCATAGCCTCAGAAAGCTAGCAGATATTCTTGAATGTGACTCAAAAATGGAGCATTGTGTTGATGAACTATTTATTAAAAACCTCCAACGAAGCCGGCTGCTTTTTGAGAAGAGGTGGGACGTCTGTGTTTCTTCTGCTGCCCTACAGACCCTCCGGCAAGCCAAGTGGAACACTCCGGACCTGCTCCCTCTGACTGAGGACGTTAGAGCCATGCATGCACATATTGAGGTATGTCGACCTGAATATGTGCAAACCCTAATAAGTGAGCCAACGTCTAAGCATTGGTCTAAACTGGCAGTTTTGACTCTTTGTGAGGTCATCATTTTCAATCGAAGAAGGGAAGGTGAGGTTTCAAAGATGCCACTGACAGCCTTTACCTTAAGAAGTAAGACTGGGATCCATTCTGACATTGCTCTGGGACTGTCCCAACTTGAGAAAAAGCTGTGTCAGCATTTTCAACGCATTGAAATTAAAGGGAAAAGAAGTCGGAAAGTGCCGGTTCTTTTGACTCCTGAAATGATTGCTTCGATGGAGGTGCTGGTGGAGAACAGAAGGGCCTGTTCCATCTCTGACCATAACCCATACTTCTTTTCCCGCCCGGGCGCAGACACCCACATCAGGGGATCAGACTCCCTACGCCAGGTAGCCAAAGAATGTGGTGCGGTGCATCCAGAGATGCTATCCTCAACCAAACTTAGAAAGCACATAGCTACTATGTCTACAGTTCTCAATATGAAAGAGAATGAGATGGACATACTTGCCAACTTCCTCGGCCATGACATTCGCATCCACAGGCAATATTACAGACTACCAGAGGGGACACTGGAGCTGGCCAAAATCAGCAAAGTGTTGATGGCCATGGAGCAGGGAAGAGTGACGGAATTCGAAGGAAAGAGCCTCGACCAGATACAAATTGAGCCTGAAGGTAATTCTTGATATTATTAAAATATGTATGATTTTTTTCCCCTAAAGGCCACTTGTATTTTTATTTTCTGTGCGACAGGGAGAGCAGTAGAGATCCTCTCACAAACGGACGGGCTAAAAGAAACTTCAAGCGGAGAACCTTCAACCATTCATCCAGATGCACCCCATGGTAGTGGCAGTGCCCCTTCTGGTAAGTGTACCAGGTGGGGGATTACAGCCAGGCTGCTTGGTCCTCACCCTGGGAGTGTATATTGCTAATATATTTTTATTTCTCTCCCTAGAACGTGTAAGAAAGCCATGGTCTGCATCTGAGGTGAAGGCTGTGGAGAAGACCATGACACCTTTCATACAGACTGGAAAGGTCCCTGGGAAGTCTCACTGCCTGGTCTGCATTAATGCCTCCCCAGATGACCTTAGACATCGGACATGGAGTGGCATTAAATTCTATGTCAAAAATAGAATCACTGCAATTCGAAAACAAAATCTAAAATAAAATTCCTTTAAAATAGTTGTTTGGTTTCTATTGACTGTTTTGTATTACTTAAAGTCTTGGTAAAAAAAGATTATGTCTATGGGTCCCATTCTGAACGGCCCTGTCAAAGGGACCCACCAGGTAACAAAAACGTGTATGTGTGTGTATGTATGTGTGTGTGTGTGTGTGTATGTATGTATGTATGTGGGTGTATGTATGTGTATATGTTTGTGTGTATGTATGTATGTGTATATGTATATATATATGTGGGTTTGTGTGAATGTATGTATGTGGGTGTATGTATGTGTATATGTTTGTGTGTATGTATGTATGTGTATATGTATATATATATGTGGGTTTGTGTGAATGTATGTATGTGGGTGTATGTATGTGTATATGTTTGTGTGTATGTATGTATATGTTTGTGTGTATGTTTGTATGTATGTGGGTTTGTGTGTGTATGTATGTATGTATGTATGTATGTATGTATGTGTGTATGTATGTATGTATGTATGTATGTATATGTGTATGTATGTGTGTATGTGTGTGTGTGTGTGTGTGTATGTATGTGTGTATGTATGTATGTGTATATGTATCAATCTAAATGGCTTTATCCTAGTTTTAACACAGTCAGAATGTGTCAGATTCAGATAAAAACCACTGAATTCAAGCCATTTTTACCTCATATTTGATCATTTTTTGCAGTGTATGAGCCGTTAAAGCCGTTAGCAACAGACACAAAACACAAAACATTTCCCAAAAAGTGTGTTTCCGTTTGGACTTCAGCCGCACAGAGTCAAAGGCGGAGGCAGAGCGCGATGATTCAACAAGTATTTTTATAGCTTCGACCACTGGACACAGATTATAATCCTAATTTCAAACCAGATCGACTTCAGTGTGAGGCCTGTGGGTGTTTCTGCTCAGGTGAAATTATCAATCAAAAAAACTAGAGCAATTCTCAATTTATTGTTTAATCCCGATAATAAAATAAACTAAATTAAATGATGTGATGTGGCATTAGCTCCCATAGATGTGTCTGTACTGGGGGATGCGAACTGATAGCATCTGTCTCTCTATTGTGGTTAAAAACTTGCTGTTCTGAGGGTTTTGTGAAGATTTATACGTATTTTACAGATTGCATAATGTGTGTAATAAACGCAAACGCAAAAAAACTTGTCATAAGCTGCACCTGGAGATAATTCCTCTCATTGTTACATAATTAATTAAAGAGATAGAACCTTTAAAGTGGCATTAATATTACATTTTCACTTTGCTGCTGAACAGAACGGAGGCTCCAATGTCGATCCACAAGTTAAAAAAAATCTCTCTCAAATCTCAAATACAATCAAAATGTGTGGTTTTTTTAGGCTTTGGCTGGATTTATGAATGAGTAATGGTTTATAGAAGAGGTCATCACACATTGGAAGCTTGTAATGTGTGACGACTCCTTTTTCCACACTGTAAAAAATAAATGCAAAAAGCTGTGCATAAAAACACAAAACATATTACGTGTTGATATTTTTTTTTGGTAATAACATTTGGCACGTACAGGGAGGAGTAATTACACGTTTCTCATCTCAGAGTTGATTGGATGCGCACGAGCCCGATGCAAAACGTGTCAAATTGTTGCACAAAAAGCAGCTAAAGTCAAAAAAGAATTCATTTTCCTTGGCTTTAAAAATCGCATCTAGGCCGATCCCCCAAATGAGACATGACAGTCATCTCAGCTGGAGACCTGAGCCCGCTTTGTGACTACAACAACACTGACACCAACACGATTCCACGCATTCAATCACAAAAATAAGATAAGAGAAAAGAAACCAAAGGAGGGAGAATAATAATGAAATTCAAACGCCAAACAACATACCTGTGGTGCTACTCGTGGCGGAGACTAAAGTAAGCCCTTGGTGCGTCTGTTGCGTGTCTTTCCCCACGATGTGATTGAGTTGTCAGTTGTCAAAGGTTCAGTTCATTTGTCTATAGAATGAGTGCGCCTTTGAATCACAACTTACAGGCCCAGCGACAAAAAAAACAACACAATTTACATCCAATACGCTGTTCTGCAATTCGTCATGTACGTCCAGTGTTTTGGCAGTAAAAATCTACTCTAAAAATGTGAAGCAAGCGTCGCTGTTGGTGCTGAAAGAGGAGAGAAGAGGAGGAGGAGGGTGGTATTTTGGCTTGTCGTGAGAGGACCGTGGGGAATAGGAAGTCTGGACGTCCCCGCTCCTCTCCGCGCTCTGCTGTGTGTGTCTGTAGTGCTTTGACGTCGTAAGCCGGTGTCTCCCTCCCTTGTCCATCTCCAAAACCCATCCCTCCCCTGGGCAGGACGAGCCGCCGTGAAAGATCAGGGACCGTGGTCAAAGCGCAAGACGCGGGAGGAAACGGAGAAAGGGATATTCATGAGTTTGGAGGGTGTGTAAATATGTGTGTTTGGGGTTGTCAGTCACGATGGCAGCGGGGATTGGTTTCCATTGTTTTGAAACCCCGGGGATGGGGGGCAAAATCCGGGTTATATTGGCATGATATAAGGCTATATATGATGATCAAAAACAGTTTTTACCAAACACTGTACGGTTAGCATTACACAATATTCAGATAGAATAGTAGAAACAGGAAGACAAAGCAGACAGAGGAGACACAAGACATTTAAAAACTGAAAGTTAAAAGCTGTTTGATGGATAATGTTTATTTCAAAAACCCGTACAAACACAATATTACAGAACAAAATACCAGACACAGATATATGTACAGGTCTTGAAAAGGGGTTGGATGAAGCGGACGTAGATAGACCCCCCAAACCCCTCTCACTCACTCAACACAAGACAAGACAAAACAGATCAAGTGAAATGAATTCTCTCAATTCTCAAAGTCTGGGCCGACACGTGATCGAACCTATGACCTTCTTGCTGTGAGGCACAACGCCAAAGTTCAGCCTTTTCTGCTCATCCAACTCCCGTTTGAATCCATTGGAGTTTTATTTGTACAAAACAGATTAAACCCTTGAATAAAGTCAAGTTATTGCAGATTTTTTGTCATAGTTAGAAATAAAACCGACATGTTTAAGATTAGCTACTTTTTTCTTTTTGTCTAAGCTAAAGACAATCTTGGGGGTTCGTTCTATGCTAGCTTACACCATATTTAATTATATATACAAGGACCCATTCACGATCCAAGTTGCTTTATCAAACTGTCGATAAAACAATGTCTAGTTAAAAATTCCATTGTGAGTTCTTGAATAAATAAACGCCTCTTTCTGCAGGTTCAAGCCCAAGTCCATGTAAAGTAGTTTTATTGATCCAGTAAAGAGCAGACAATCCTCGGTGATGTTCGTGAAAAGCGGATCATTGAGATTGTCCGTTACTTCAAGGAGAATTTGTAAAAAAAAATGTGCGGCACCCAGAGGAAACCTTCGCACACATGGGGAGAGCCTGAAAACTCCACTCAGACCCTGTTCTGAGAGGGCCTCGAACCTAGGATCTTCTTGATGGGAAGCGAGAATGCTAACCACTCAGCCACCCTGCCGCCTGTCCAATGTAGCCCTCTGTTCTCATGTGATGTGTGTGAATATGAAGCAGCAGTATGGTATTAGTACTACAGGTTATATAACATCATTTTAGACATATTATACCTTTTTTTTAATATATACACACTTATAATTGTATTTATTTGCATTATTTCCAGGTCTGACAACTCATGGCAGACGGGAATGACAATTCAAAACAAGAAAAGTAAAAAGGATGCCCCAACTACAGCCCAAAAGAAAAATGCAAAAATGTTCTCTGCAACCAAAAAAAAAAATCAGTCAATAAAAAAGTCATGACAAAAGTAGATGGACAAACCAGAGTGTCCAACAGACCAGATATAAACTGACAAGACACAGACAGACGAGGCACATTCACTCCCATTCTCATTCAACTCACTCCTGGTGCTCCCTCCAATAGGTCTAACAATGTTTGAACCAGCAGTAAAAGAGGTTATATTTGACACCAATTTTAGACATATTTCCGATTCATTCAGGCATGAAAAGAGGCAGATGCCGACACACATTCATGACAAATATAAGATAGTTTTCGTTTTCAAAGACGACCACCAATTGAAGGACAGTCCCTAACATCAAAAGATGCAAATCCGCCTTTTGTTCTCTCTGGAGCTGGCCGTGGTCCTGAAACGATCCCAGTCAAAGAAGGACGCCCAGCTCCTGTCTCCAAACTCGCCTAAAAAACCTCCACAACTCATTCCTTACTGCGCTTTCTCTTTTTCTTTCCGACCAAACAGGTGTGATGTACGCAAGGGGCACGTCCGCACGCCCTCTGTGAAATCTCGGCAGCATGTAAACAATGAACCCACATGACAGCGCGCACGGAGCATGCGCACAACCACGCACTTCAAAGCAGTCACGATCTGAACCTGGTTGGCTCCGAACGGAAAAGAGAGAGAAAAAAAAGGAAAAGAAAACGCAGCCACGACACAGACAGATCCCCATTATTCATGTTTTTGGACCCATTTTCGGTCACGTGACGCTGTGGCTACAACTTTAATTCCCTTTCCTCTTTTCTGCACACAAATGATCTCCGCAACAGCTTAAAGTTAAGACTACACCATCTGGCACGGGTCTCCAAATCCCTCAGTAGACCCAGCCTCCCTCCCGCCCGCCCTACAGTAGGCTACACTGTCACGGCGCGGCACGGCTTACTTCACCCCGCTTTGATCAGGTGGATGTGGGCCGCGATAAAACATGTTCAAATGGGACGTGGAGACGACAGCAGACAGCCAACCAAGACCTAAATAAAACATGTGGCGAGCGGCAGAGGCGGTATTGTCTAATTTATGTGACCCAATATCACGTTCTTTTTAGTGGTTCTGAGTCGGGGGGGATTTGATCTGCTTTCTTTGACAAGGAGAGGAGTTTTTAAGGACAGCAAACCACCTGTGAATAGGAGGTCTGTGAGGAAAAGGTCAAAGCACTTAGCAATGCACACAGACATATTAAACTGGAGCTGCAGCCTCCAAAGAGATCGATCAGTTATATTAGAAACGGGGTGATTGGGATCAATGGAGAGCCGCGTGAAGAAGTCCGTGTCCAGGACCAGAGTCTTTACACACGTCACCGTGGGATTATTAAAATACTGCATGGTTTCAATGTTTGCCACATCACAAAAAGGCATTTAACAGAATGTGTTTGTATAAATGTATAAATGTGGTATATTATTCTGTTTTGTCTGGCATCATCACATTGATAACTCAGGACATTTAAGGACATTATTTATAAACATGTATGGACATTAGTCTTCCCCCATGTGTTTGTTATTATGGCATTTCTTTGTTGATTTTCTGATTTGTTTCGGAGGAATCATCAACTTTGTGGAGTCCTTCGAGACGACTGCGGTTGCGTTTAAGGGCAATACAAAAAAAATGTGCTGTTGGTCTTATGGGGCGGCAGTGGCTCAGTTGGTAGAGCGTCGACCTTTGAGCCTGAAGGTCGTGGTTTCGATCCCACCACAAGACCTCCTCCCACTGATGTCTGCTGTCGTTGTGTCCTTGGGCAAGACACTTAACCCCACTCTGCCTGAAGCCCCCGCTGAAGGCTGTGATGTCACTGACAGAGCTGCCTCCTGTGGACTCAGCACCTGCAGTATGCGTTGTTCTTCTATTGGTCGGAAAAGGGTCTTTCTGAGTGGAGTTTGCATGTTCTCCCTGTGTCTGCCTAGGTTTACTCCAGGTGCTCCGGTTTCCCCTATACTACTAAAAAAATGAATGGGTAAAATCCTCCAGCTGACAGCATTTGGAGATGGGTTCCCGGGCGCTGTTGCCACGGCGACCACTGCTCCTGACGTAAGCCTTAGCGGCGTCAGGATCTGGGTCAAATGCAGAGGATGAATTTCTCTACAGGGATTTAACTTTTACTCCTGGCTTTAGACTAATCTAGAAGAAGGACACTGTAATGTTTTTATTTCTGTGGATATGAATTTTACTCATAACACAACAATCCCTGATACTACACACTACAAACAAACTACACACTACAAACAAACTACAAACAAACTACACACATCCATTTTCTTCCCCTTAATCCATTTCAGGGTCGGGGGGTGGCAGTCACAGAGCACCAGCCCCTCACTGATCCTCCTGCAGGTGCTGAGTCCACAGGAGCAGAGATCTTTCAGTGGGGGCTTCAGGCAAAGTGGGGTTAATTGTCTTGCCCAAGGACACAACGACAGCAGACCTCAGTGGGAGTCGTGAAGTAGGTCTTGAGGTGGGCTCGAACCCACGACCTTCAGGCTCAAAGGTAAATGCTCTACCAACTGAGCTACTGTCGCCCACAGTATATACACACTACATAAATACTACACAATACATTATATACACACTAGATACACACGACACACTACTGTTAAGAATATTAAAAATGAAAATAATTTTAATCAGTCATAAGTTTTAAAGGTGAACAGGCCAAACATGTTTTTAAGTAAAAAGACAGAAGCAAATAAAAACAAACACATGTGAGATTGTGTGAAAACATTTATTGTGTAGAAAACAGTTGAATCCAGTCATTACCTTGAGATAAATAATTCTTACCTGAACCTGAGGCTTCGGTCCGCTCCCAAACCCACACATCTGCAAAACACACACAAACTGTATAATTTTAACATTTTAAACTCGAATATAAACGTCTTTTGGGCTCATTTCCATCTAAAACTCACTTAAATGGCCACCGCTGCTTCGGCTGCTGCGGCTGCTGCGGCTGCTGCGGCGGCGGCACACATCAGAGAGGTGTTTTTCACAGGGAAAACACGGCAGGATTCAAAGAGGCGCTCCGACAAAAACCAATGGAAAAACCTCAGTCAAATCAGGGACATCAAAGAAGCGCCGCGGTCCCTGAGGAAAAGACACAGAAGCAGCCGCGGTGAGCACCAGTGACACACACACACACCAAAACACACCAAAACACAACAAAAACAACTCTTTATCAGCATTAATATTGACAACAAAGACCAGATATGTAAATATAGAAACACAAGGACACATTCTGAACTAGATGTGACTGTAGGAAGACTGTAGCTGGTTCAAGACGCATAAAGAAGAGGTTAAAATCAACAAAACAGTTCTTTACAAAGACTAAAAGACTTACACCAAATAACAAAGAAAACTATAATTACTGCATCGACAATGACGTCATGTTTTGGGGTTTTATTTTCTCATTTAAAAGCAGTATTTTTGCAGTTTTTTGTGATTTTTTTTGTTGTGTTATGTCTAAATATGACCTAATTGTGCCGTTAAGTCGTCCCAGTGGATGCTTTTTGGTTAAAACAGACAAAATGCAACAATTGCGTCACACTTTCACTATTATCGTTTATTGTAATTGATTTATGAATTAATATTATGAATCTGAAATGTGTTTTTGTTCCGATATTTTTCTTTCTGAACTGCGACATAAGTATAAGTTTAGAGTTTTACAAATGTCCCCTTTGTTTTTTGTGTTGCCGGGAAAGTTCCAAACAAGCAGCAGACGCCACAAGCTCCAGTTACAGGTCGGATCTGGGGAAAGGCGTCGCTTTAAAATGTATTTGTTAATAATAAAATAGTTGCAAGTGAACTGTTTAAAACACCTAATTTTGATGTACTTAAAATGATATTTATCTATATAGCGCCTTTCACAGACACAAAGATGAGTCCACACAGAGATGGAGCTGTCACCTACAGGAGACACAGGCCAGACCTGTGCATGTTTTTAGTGGTAGGGGAAACCGGAGTACCCGGAGGAAACCTACGCAGGCACGGGGAGAACATGCAAACTCCACTCAGAAAGACCAGCCGTTTCTTTCCTTCTTCAAAATGTAAATTGTGAGTAGAGCTTTCCCTGTGAATTGAGGCCGTCTCCATGGAAACCAGTTGGAGACTAAAAGGTAAAGGTGCACTTTATTAATCCCCATAGAACAGTTCATCCTCTGCATTTGACCCAGATGCCCTAAGGCCTACGTCAGGAGCAGTGGTCGCCGTAGTAACAGTGCCAGGGAACCCATCTCCAGATGTTGATGCTCGGCTTGGTCAGGACCGGAGCTGGAGGATTTAACATAGTGAGCATGTTTTTAGTGGTAGGGGAAACCGGAGCACCCGGAGGAAACCTACGCAGGCACGGGGAGAACATGTAAACTCCACGAAGAAAGGCCCTGTTCTGACCGGGATTCGAACCCAGGACCTCCTTGATGAGAGACCAGTTGGAGACCAGTGGTTCATTAGAAAGAGCTCAGAGCCACGATCAGCGACTGACTTTACACGAGGATAACTTTTGGCTCGACAACGTTTGAGTTTCGGCTTCTTGTACTTACTCAAAAGATCTTTTTTTAAATTGGTTTGTTTATTAACCATCGCCATGGCAACGGTCCTAATTCGTCCCAATTCTGAGCCCCATGGACAATCAGGGCCATAAAATATTGTGTTTGAAGAACTGGAAGTGTCAGAGCAGTAAACGTCTTCACACTAAATACTCACAGCTTTTTTATTTTTTTTTATTTAGTTTCAGAACAAAGACGCAGAGTTTAAACATGTTTAGTATTTAACAGAATTTACAAGTTTTAAATGTTTTGTAACAGAATAATATGGAAAGTTTCAGAGTCTGGTTCAGATTGAAGCCTCCTGCGTTCCTATTGGACGAGCCTTTACTGTTAACACTTATGAAAACTTAGTAACAAATGTAAACGATTATTTCTACAGTAATCTACTTTAAATGAAGATTAGTTACTTCTACAAATTCATTTCTACTTCTGTATTCTTACTCTTCAAACTTTTGTTAAACTACATCATAAACTGGGAACTAAAAAACTACTTTTACTACTATTTTAAAATATTTTTCTGGTGCGATAATTTGGCTGATTACTCTTTTCATTAATAGTTTAAATCTGTCCAGTTGGATTAAATTTGACCAAAACGAAGCCAAAGTGATGCCATAAAAACAGATTAATCGTAAAACTACATTTCTTCACAAATATGAGTTGTAATTAAACTTGCTGCAGCCAAAGACTAAATAATAATCTAATAATCTTATTTGTTTTGAACAGAATGAGCTCCAGTGACAGAGTTTTGTTGTTGGCAGAAGTGTTTTTTCTAGATTCCGTCCTGATGGAAGTGGGTTCAGTCTGAGCTAATTTGAGCCGCCCTCGGAGTCACGGCTGAAGGAGACCGAGGTCAAACTCCGACTCTAAAAACACAAAACTAAAGGCTGCAGAAAACAACTAATCTTTAGAGCTAGCTTAGCACTTTAGGGATCATTAACATCTCCCCAATAACGGCTGAGACTTTTTAAATATCTTCACATTTGAGTTGCGAGGTTGATTGCGTGGATCCACTGAGGACATAGTCTACGGGTCAAAGACATAAAACACACAGGTTTTCAAACTCAGACTTTATTGGTGAATACAATGTAAAATAATGAGAAAATCTTCATCTGCGACGACCCTCCTTCAGACGCTGCCCTCGCTCCAAAACCGCTCTCCAGAAACTCAACGAGACGAGAAAATGACGCATCGAAAACGATTTATCGCAAAGATTTACAAATATCACATTCAGTTGAAAAATAAAAAAAGTGTGTTCTCCAATTTGTACACGTATGAGCTTATTTACAGACGTGTTCAGGCTGTTAATGTATCAAAGGTTCCCGAATGCAGACTATGAAAAGGACTGACTAAAAACTAAAACAGCAGAAATAAAACTGCATCAACTACAATCCGTTACTTTTAGCAGAAAATAACCTTTTTTCTGGGTTTGCGTTTGCTCCGGGCTCACTCTGACCATGCACTCACTCGCCCCATGCACTCAGCCCTGGATTCATGGATCAGAAACCAACTCAATAACACAAAGAGTGAATTATATAATATATCCACCTCTTTTCCTCTTTTCTCCCCGTCGGCTCTTCTGGTCGTCACACCTGGTGCCTTCACACTCGGGACATTTCCCCTCTACCTCAGCGTCGTCGTGGGGGGAAGGGTCTTTTGGGGGAGAAGCCGGGACCGCCTCCTCTCATTGGTCGTTTGCCTCTGAACCAGGGCTCGGGAGCTCGGCCACCTGGGAACGGGGGCCTCGGGTTCCCCCTGAGGTGATGTCCGGGGGGAGGCCCTCTCAGGGGTGGTCTCATGCCCCTTTGCCCCATGCCGGGATGGTGAGGAGGCGGCGGTCTTCGCGGTGAGGGTGCTTCCCGGTGCTGATAGTCAAAATACTCATTCTCAGGAGGCGGGAAGCGACCTCTCATTCTTGGTCCAAAGTACGGCTCGCCAACAGGAGGCATTTGTGCGTCGCTTTGATAATACTCCCTCTGGTACATGTCATCTTCATTGTAATGTCTGTCGTCTAAATACTCTTGGGGGGCGGGGTCACGCAGCGGGTCGTCCTGGTGGAAGACGGACTTGTGTTGGTGGTCGTGGACGATGACTCTGCTGAGTAAGCTGCTGACTCCGGAGGGCAGCTCTGGACCAGGGGGAGGCTGCATATCTAAGCCTGGCCCGGCCCCAGCCGAGGTGTAGTAGTCATGGGGAGGGGGTAAGCTTGGTACTCGCAGATGCACATTAGCAGACATGTCAGCGCCCCCTGCTGGCTCCTGAGTAGACTGATATGGGAAGTGTCCAGGTTGCGAGCTCTCCAATGGACCTAGAGGCACATTTAAACTTTGCTGAGAGCTGCCTTCTGGGTAAACCGTATTAAACCAGCCACTCTCATTGATTTTCTCTACAATGTTTGTTATGTTTGTGGCAACGCCCGGGGCTACATCTCCACTGATTTGTGCCAAAAGCTGAGCGTAATCTGCAACTGGTGCTGCACTCGCCGGCTGGGATACAGTGTCGGGGAAGGGATAAGGCTGGTATGGCTGTCCGTTGGTAACCACTGGAGTTTGCGGTGGAAGAATGCCACTGGCTTCTCCCACAGAAACTGGATTGGGATTAAGTGCTACTGTGGTTTTGTCCATAGCCTCGTCTTGTGTGGGCGTACTTCCCCCTTCGTCTCGCACCGGAGTTCCTTCTTGAGCGGGACTTGCTGCATTCGTTGGAGTCGATTCAAACCCCAAATCGAACGCACTGAACGCTGGATTTCCCTGGAGAAAGCTGTGGATTTTGGACTCTAAACTATCGGCTACAGCTGCAGGCTCTTGCTCCCTGGTGACAGTGGGGACGGCGGAGACTGGCTCAGACTCGGGAGGTCTTTGGTTCGGCTGCGATAGGTTTGAGGTCTCCGTAATGATGGGCGCTGGGGATGAAACCGTCTGTGATGTGACAGTCTGTGATGTAGATGAGAGGGAAGGAGGTTTCTTGCCTGAAGCGGGAGAATCGGACAAGCGAGAGGACGGGCTGTTAAGCAGTGACGAGAAACCTGTGGAAACAGTTTGGGATTAATGAGAATCTAAAACTATATGGTGTCCAAGAGAAGAACCACCTCCAGCCATTATTAGTCTTAATGAATTATTATTATGAGTATGAGTATTACTTATGTGGTTTCAGAACGTCAACTGGATTTTTGTCGTTCAAAACTTTGTGTATCATGTATTTAAAAACATTCCTTGAAGACCTTTTATGAAAAACTGCGAATTGTGTCATCTAAAATTTGTATCATTTATAACATTTTGATTTGTCAAAGTTTAAGTTTTGCGCTACATGTGACCATTGTTGGTGTATGAGAAACTATAATGTGTCTTTGGGCGTATTGTCACATTGTAACAGAGGTTAGGCAGGATAAGATTCGACTTCAGCCTAAACCTCTTTCAGTCAGGCATTGTCTTCTGTGATCTCTGAAAACGTGTGACCTGAGATCGGGTGTACATAATGGCAGAAAAACTACTACTACTACTACTACTACCTAGACAATTAAATATATAATTGTGTTGCAAGTGTGTTAATCAGCATCACAACATTCATTATTTATCACCAAAACGATAGATACTTTAATGATCCTCAAAACTCAAAATATTTCTTGAATTTAAGACTCAATCTATGAGCTCACATTCACAGAGAAAGAACTTCCTATGGTCTTGGAATCCACTGTAATTAGGGTAAATACTGCCCCCTGCAGACTACAAAAGGAAACGCTTTAATGACCACTTCACCAGGATGAAGGAGAACCAGGACAGAGGAGTCTTCCCTGGAGGCTACAGAGAGAGAGCAGGAGCCTCACCCTCTAATCCTCCTTGGGCCTGGACTTTGGTGAGAGCACTCAGTAAATCCGAAGCACTCATATCCACTTTAGAGAGGAGTTTGGACAAAGAGTTGGAGTCCTGCAGAACTGCGATGGCGGCCGAGGTCGTGTCCACAGAGGAGGTCGCAGACGAGGCCATCTTCGAGTCCTGTGAAGGTCCTGTTCCAGAAAGATCACCAGAGTTAAGCTTAATAAATAAATATCTAACAAAGCAGAGGCTGTATCACATGAATCATTCTAAAATATTCTATACTCTTGACGAGATGGCAGGGTGTGGCATGGCCTGGGGAAGCCTAATCCCATCAGATCTCAGAGGCTAAGCAGGTCAGGGCCTGGATAGTACTGGGATGGGAGACCTCTGGTGCCATAGCGACAGGGCTATGGCTGTAAAGTGCCTAAATATCAATGTGTTTTTACGTGTGCTTAAAGATGCAGTCAGTGATATTATCCAGACGCTTTTTTTTTTTTTAATATTGTGGGAAAACGTCCCAAAACCCTAAAAGTAACAAGTTCTCATGTGTTTTCAAATAGTAATGGAATTGACCACATGTCTATAGTTTACAAATATTAATAAAACATATTTTGGAGCGGACCAATAAAAATAACCCAATGGGATGCGTTTACCTCCTTCACCCTCTTCCTGATTCTACGGCTACGGCTAAGCTAACAACGTCGCTTACTGCACCTTTAACACACATCAATGATTAGTTTTGGTGATCTTTGAGGGTCCAAACAATGTTCAAAAAAAAACAAACACTTTCTTTACAGCGTCACTTAAAGCATTCTTACTCATATCTGCTTTTGAACTTTCCATCAGTTTAACCAATGTCAAAGGTATACATTCATATTTTCATTTACATTTACGTACATTAGTGATCCCAGATAAAAGGCAAACTAGTATAAAAACAATTACACACAAGGTCATTGTGCAATCAGAGAATCCTGGTCCATCTGGCCTCCTGCGTCGGACAGCGAGGTAAGTAATGGCTTTAATCTGAATTGTAAAAGAGCTGCAGACTTATATACATTATCAGCGCAGGAGATACATCACTTCTAAGCGATGCAGCGGCAAATGAATGGCTCTGATATGGGAGTAATATGAACCCATTTATTATTTAACACCGGTCTCAGAGATGAATCTATAACACAAGCACAGAGCGGCACTCACCTGTGTTCTTTATGACTGAGCTCAAACTGTTGAGGAAAGAGCCAATTTTACCCAGGTCAACACCTTCGACAGCGGCCGCGGGGGGAGCAGCGGCCGGGGCGACCTCCGGGACGGTCGGCTCTGGGACGACTGATGAGTCCGAGCTCTGGGGGGCGGGGCCTGTCACCTCTGTCTGAGCCGGGACTGCAGTCTGCTCCAACACTATTACAGGACAGAAGCATGACTCAGCTACACACCGGGACTTTTAAATATGTTCACTTAATCAGAGGAAGTCACCCACAGACAGAACAGCAGTAGCCTGGTCTTACCACACCACTGTACTCAATTCATTTGGTAAGAAGGTCTGGATTTGCTCCATTGACTTCTTTAACAGGTGGGAGGGGTTAACTCCTTTTGTAGATTGAAACGATTGGATCTGAGTTTACTGTGACGTTTGTAATGAGCCCGAGTGAGTGAGACATTTAGCCTAGCTTTAGCATGTAGCCTAGCTTTAGCCATTTCCTTTGCCACTAACGGAGCCCGTGGGGAGTAGAGCCACAACATCATTGCTTCAATGACATTCACTAAACATTCCTCTTGCTCCGGCTTCAGTTTCTTGATATTTGGATTGAACCAGAACAGATTATTTTACTATCGCATTCTCCGACAAACTACAACCAGCAAATTCAGCACAAACTCTTGACGTCACCGACACCGACCTACAACACCCGCCTCCCCCGCTCTCTGATTGGTCGGAGGGGATTCAACCGAGAAAACTGCAGCCACTAGGATCAGACCCAGACGTACATGTAGGAAATGATCATGGACCAGAGTTTACACATGGTAAGACCAGACGTACATGTAGGAAATGATCATGGACCAGAGTTTACGGACGGCTAAGGCTAGGCTAAGAAAGCATTGTTTATGTGAAGAAATCAGAGGTCAAGATAATGAAACAATCATAAATATTATTTACGCCAAACACAAACCTTCCTTTAATCACAAAACCTTTGATCAGAAAGTATTCACACATTATCGTCACAAACACGATTTTAAGTTTAATGACAAGGAAAACCTCTCAGATAAAAGCAGAAGAATGACAACTGGGCCTCTTCGTTCACTAATTCACTGATAACTTTTGAATTCAACTCCGCCCTCTGGTGGCGGCACACAGAGTTACAGGTAGAAAGCATTTTTATCCATAGTCACTTGTCTTCCCATATATTCTCTACTTCAAAAAGGTATTTAGGAGGATTTTCTACTTCCGGGTGGATCATCAAGACTATTGCTCCTCCCAACTGTCAATCATTCTGGTGATACGTGCTCGTCCAATAAGAGCAGAGAATTATGTTTAAAAAGTGGAGAGGGCGGTTCTTTCTAAAATTTGGGAAAATCCTCCAATAAACCTTTAAGATAATATTTAACATTCTAAAACATAAACAAAAGTACATTACAACGTAAATATTCTCATTATAGACTACAAATAATGCATGATATTTCTTCTTTAAGTTGAATATCCTTTTAGTGCTTGTGCCAATAAGTGGAAAAAAGGAAGAAAGTTCATTGATTTGTTAAAATATTTGTTGATAAATAATAAAAAATAGAAAGGCTTACCTATAATAGCTCCACTCTCCATCTCTTCCTCCGACAGCTCCATGTCCTCTTCTTCAATGATGTCACTTTCACCGATCGTGGGGTCTTTTGGCGACGCCCCGATGGAGGAGAGGGGGCTGGGGGCCGGGGGTTCTGCGTCATCGTCCAGAGCGGAGCCGTCCAGGTCTGGGTCCGGGTCGGCCAGAGGGAGGCTGTCAAAGGGGGACTCTGAACCCATGGGCGAGGGGGCGTCTGCGGAGGGGGAGGGCAGGGGGGAGTCGTCCAGGCTCGGCAGCGTGGCCTTCAGACTGTCCAACTTCCGCTTCAGATGATTCACGCGGTTCGCAAAGGTCTGGTACGCCTGAGATCACAGGGTTGTGTCAGATGGATCCTGAGTGTTTAGCAAAGTGTACAACAATCTACAGAGCTACAAGAGTGGGTTAATCAGGGCTCGACATTAACGGCTGTCCGCTTGGCCGGGGCAACGAAAGATTTGGAACGGGCAAGTGCGCTGTTTCAGCAAGTTGCCCGGTCGGGGAAGTAATGTATTGCTTTAACCCATTCAGGCCAAGAACACGTTCCTGCATTTCTTCCTCTGGAGCCGGGAGCGGACACGTCTGATTATCTTTTTTTGACCAATTCTCTTCAAAATTCCCGACAATGTCATTTCTGTGAAATGTATAAACTTTCATTTGTTTGCTGTACGGGCTCGAACGGGATTTACATCCTCCGCTCTGACCCGGGGCAGCTGCGGCAGCTTTGACGGCTCAGTGAACGCACAGCCATAACGTGGTACCTAAATCTCCCCATGCATTAAAAATGCATGTTTGTTGTCCACAAAAGTAAAATGTTGGGAACAAATCAAACAGAACACACCACGACAGGCGTCTTGTTCTCTGGGGGGAACTCTGCCCTGATTGTTTGTTTAAAATGTCAATAAAGATTTTTTACTCACATTTGCTACGATCTTCACTTCTTTGTACTGCATCTCGTAGAAGACGTTAGCGTTGTTCAGCGCTTCCAGAATCGGGTCCGAGGTTTTATTTTGTTTTTCCAAAAACTTCACAAACTCCTGCAGCTGAGCGTTCCCTTCCTCAAAGTCTCTGGAAAATTTCTTTCCTCCAGCTTTATCTGCAAACATCAAAACAGGTTCATTCTTTAGTGCAGGGAAGTCAAAATCAATGGGTCAAAGTGGTCCAATGTTTAGTAAAACATGAAAATGTATAAAACCTGTTGAACCAAGACCCGACACCGTGGACCATATTTTATTTCACTCATTGACCGCCATTGACTGCATTTGGCTGAGACTGATTTCTGTCAAACTTCCCTCTATTCCACTAAAGATCACAGCAGAACAAAACTATCTAGATACCAATGTATTTTTTCTGATGAAAGTAGACAGCCAGTCTTTCAGAATTTGGTTTCATATTTTACTTAGGTCACAGCACATAATATTCTGTGGGTCTTGAAAGTCGGTAAAATCATCAAAATCGGCTGGCAGCCAGTGAGTTAATGATTCAATTAATTCATGGAGATTTCACTGGTTTTCAAGACCCACAGAATATATTATGTGCTGTGACTATGTAAAATATGAAACCAGATTCTGAAAGACTGGACTGTCTACTTTAATCAGCAAAAACAAGTTTGTTTCTAGCTAGTTTTGTTCTTCAGTAATCCCCAGTTGAATAGAGGGAAGTTTGACAGAACTCTCCAGTCTCAGACAAATACGTCAATAGCAGTCAATGAGCTAACAATCCAAAATCCACTTCCTTCAAAGAGAAAACGCATGAACATTAAATTAATAATTCAAAATGTTCTTATGTCTTTGTGCGGCCGGTTCTAATACTAATCAAATGTCATCCCTGGGGGCCAAAATAACTTCATTTGCGGGCCGGATGTGGCTCCTGGGCCTTGCCTTTGACGCTGCTTTAGTGGGACATGAATCTGGGCAAAATGATCACGAAGCATTCTCTAAACTTATGTCCTCATGGTTTTGTAAATGGCAGATTGTCGGCTGCTGGGTCCAAAATCCATTGTTATTTTTCTGTGTTTTCGTGCGACCAGAAGTAATTATGCAAGAGTCGCTTCACTGGTCTGAAATATGGTAAGCCTCGATGTTAAAATAAAGGATTATGGTCGGACTGGAAGAGTGCCCTGATGTGCTTTAAGACCTTTTGTTGCATTTCAAAAGGATAAAGGCTGCAGCTGTTAAACAATACATTATTTCAACACATTCATATTTTATTTAGTGAACATTGTGGGTCCTTGGATATTAATTATTCTTATTGATTGCCAACAAACAGAAAATCCAGTGTAAGGAGGCTTATAAAAGAAGATTGTGTGTTGCATATATTGTCATTTTCCTTTGGCTCCAGCATCTCATGTTTACAATAAATATGTTTTAGCACTTCCCACAGATGGAGTCTGTGTTAGTGCGCCATCTTCTGGAAGCAGTGGGTATTAACCAAGAATAATAATGTGGATACAGTAAGCCCATATATGTGTGGTCTCTATGTTTCAGACTGTAACTAATTCCTTTTTATCAAGAAATGAGTCGAAAAACAGCACAGACCGTTGGATTCTACTGTTGACCTCGAAAATCAGGGATATTTGAAACATTTAGAAGGTTCAGAATAAACCAAGCTTAAAAAGGGTTTAAAAGGAGGATTTTCCCAAACTTTAGGAAAGAACCGCCCTCTCCACTTTTTGAACAAAACTCTAAATGGCTTCAAGATATAAAGGAGGATTTTCTACTTCTCAACAAATCCACAGGTGTTTTAATGATTGAGCAACGGCCCAATAATAAATATAAGTGTCCTACAGGGGGAAATTAAGTGCTCCTTTACCAATAACGGAACAGGGTCTTTCTGTGTGGAGTTTGCATTGTAGGTTTCCTCCAGGTGCCCCGGTTTCCCCTACCACTAAACACATGCTCACTAGGTTAAATCCTCCACCTCTGGTCCTGACCAAGCCGAGCATCTGTAGATGTTTCTCGGGCGCTGTTACTACGGCGACCACTGCTCCTGACGTAAGCCTTAGCGGCATCAGGATCTGGGTCAAATGCAGAGGATGAATTTCTCTACGGGGTTTAATAAAGTGCACCTTCACCTTAATAAGTTGTATAATGTTATGCTGAAAACCTCGCATACGACTGGACTGTAGATCCTGTTCTGTTTCTTATTTTCAGTGTTTTGCGATGGAAAGCCTCCAAAATCATCGGTTGCATTGGGCCACGGCTGGAGCAGCTCAGAGTGTTTTTAACCTCAGTAATAAAACACTCTAGAATCCTTCAGACTTTCACCTTTGAGTTTCCGGAGAGCTTTGGTGTTGCAGATGTCCAGCCTCATGGCGGCCAGCTGCTTCTCCCTCAGCTCCACCTCCTCCACAGACCTCTGGTGCTTGGACAGTTGGTCGATGAAGGCCTGAGGCTGCACAGACACACGTCACACTCACAAACCACCATAAAAACCAGATAATTACACTTTATTCTTACCACAAACTCAGCCACAATCCTGGAGCGGGTTTCAGCTGGAGATTCAGTTGGAGCTGGAGCAAAACGAGGACAGTGTGTGATATAATTGTAAAAATGTACATACTATTCATAGGGAATTTATCATATAACATCAGAATTAGGGCTGTCAAAATGATCGCGTTAACTCACGTTAATTACAGTTTTCATGAACGTGCTTTAAAAAAATAAAAAACGCTTTAACGCATGTCCGAATGACCCGCCCAGGTATCCATAATATCACTCAGAATGTCGCAGACTCATGCGTGTGTGTGACGGTGACAGAGCAAAGAATACACGCGTGACCGCGGGGCTGTTGTTTGCAATGAAATATGAGACCATACACACACAGGACTACTCACTGCATGTTGTGTGTGTGTTTGAGGCTGAGTTTACACGGAGACAATGTGGCAGTAAAACGGTATAGTTGGATGTCGGTTGCTACCAACCGTTCATACGAAGACTGTGTTCCAGGTGAAAACGTAAGTGTTCAGATCCAGCCTGCAGAGGCTGAGTTTACACGGAGACAATGTAGCAGTAAAACGGTATAGTTGGATGTCGGTTGCTACCAACCGTTCATACGACGACTGTGTTCCAGGTGAAAACGTAAGTGTTCAGATCCAGCCTGCAGAGTGGGACAACTCAGGCCCTGTTTATACTGAGACGCTGCGCAGACGTTTCCAGGCTATTAACAGAAACGACCTGGCTCCTAATGCAAATTTCTCTGCGTTCACATGAGGTTGAAAAACGATGTAGTTCTAGCGCCCGGCCAGTAGTGGGCAGAGAAACTTTACAACACTCACATGACCCCCAGCCCCGTGCCCAGCCCCCCTCTCGGCAGTATACTCACTTCCTGTACCAGACCCTCAGAACGCACCAACATCTATCTGAATTTTAACAGCAGCTGTGAACATGGAAACTGAACCTAGAGCTTCGCGTGGTCTCGTTTGGACGAACGAAGGAGTAGAATTATCCTCTGTCCCGCGCTGGAAGCCCACGAAGCTAGTGTGGGCAGCGCCATTGTTGTTGATGTTTGTTCTTCGCTACTGCACATGTCCAAATTTACGTGCGGGGAGCAGCGCGGAGGCGGGGGTCAGAGCAGAGGGGGATTTCACACCTTTCCCTCTCGCGGGTGTGAAAAAGCTCCCTGCTGTGCAGCGTTTCTGAGTTGTCCCACTCTGCAGGCTGGATCTGAACACTTACGTTTTCACCTGGAACACAGTCTTCGTATGAACGGTTGGTAGCAACCGACATCCAACTATACCGTTTTACTGCCACATTGTCTCCGTGTAAACTCAGCCTCAGAAACGCTGCACAGCGGGGAGCTCTTTCACACCCGCGAGAGGGAAAGGTGCGAAATCCCCCTCTGCTCTGACCCCCGCCTCCGCGCTGCTCCCCGCACGTAAATTTGGACATGCGCAGTAGCGGAGAACAAACATCAACAACAATGGCGCTGCCCGAACAAACTAGCTACATGGGCTTCCAGCGCGGGACAGAGGATAATTCTACTCCTTCGTTCGTCCAAACGAGACCACGCAAAGCTCTAGGTTCAGTTTCCATGTTCTCAGCTGCTGTTAAAATGCAGATAGATGTTGGTACGTTCTGAGGGTCTGGTACAGGAAGTGAGTACACTGCCGAGAGGGGGGCTGGGCACGGGGCTCGGGGTCGTGTGTCGTGTTGTAAAGTTTATCTGCCCACTACTGGCCGGGCGCTAGAACTACATCGTTTTTCAACCTCATGTGAACGCTGAGAAATTTGCATTAGGAGCCAGGTCGTTTCTGTTAATAGCCTGGAAACGTCTGCGCAGCGTCTCAGTATAAACAGGGCCAGAGTGGGACAACTCAGATACGCTGCACAGCAGGGAGCTCTTTCACACCCGTGAGAGGGAAAAGGTGTGAAATCCCCCTCTGCTCTGACCCCCACCTCCGCGCTGCTACCCGCACGTAAATTTGGACATGCGCAGTAGCGGAGAACAAACATCAACAACAATGGCGGCGGTCACAGTAACTAGCTTCGTGGGCTTCCAGCGCGGCCCAGAGGATAATTCTACTCCTTCGTTCGTCCAAACAAGACCACGAGAAGCTCTAGGTTCAGTTTCCATTTTCACAGCTGCTGTTAAAATGCAGAATGTTGTTGGTGCGTCCTGAGGGTCTGGTACAGGAAGTGAGTACACTGCCGAGAGGGGGCTGGGCACGGGGCTGGGGGTCGTGTGAGTGTTGTAACGTTTCTCTGCCCACTACTGGCCGGGCGCTAGAACTACATTGTTTTTCAACCTCATGTGAACGCAGAGAAATTTGCATTAGGAGCCAGGTCGTTTCTGTTAATAGCCTGGAAACGTCTGCGCAGCGTCTCAGTATAAACAGGGCCTGAGTAACCTGTGAGTAACCTGTGAGTAACCTGTGAGTAACCTGTGAGTAACCAGTGAGTAACCAGTGAGTAACCAGTGAGTAACCAGTGAGTAACCAGTGAGTAACCTGTGAGTAACCTGTGAGTAACTTGTGAGTAACTTGTGAGTAACCTGTGAGTAACCTGTGAGTAACATGTGAGTAACCTGTGAGTAACCTGTGAGTAACCAGTGAGTAACCAGTGAGTAACCAGTGAGTAACCAGTGAGTAACCTGTGAGTAACCAGTGAGTAACCAGTGAGTAACCAGTGAGTAACCAGTGAGTAAACTGTGCCAAAAGTAAAAGGATGTGAATCAAACAGATTAAAGTACATTTGGTCTGAATGACAATGTGTCATTATATTTGATAATCTCATTTAACTTCAATTGGATTTGAAATAGAAAGATTAAAAAAAATGCTTAATGTGCAATTAATCAACAACAAAAAAATTGTTTGACAGCCCTAATCAGAATGTATTAAAACGCACAGAAAATGACAAATTATTATAAAAGGTATTATTTATTCGTAAACAGAAATTAATTAGATATTGTGAATATTTATACAAGACACGGTGAAACTAGAGGAAATATTGTGGCTTGATTGTATAGTTTTGTTAATATATATTTGCATGTGTAAAGGAAACATGTATAAAAAGTCATATAAACAAAGGAATGTAAATATTATAAACACTTATGATAAATGTTAATATTAAACATTATAGACTGGTGGAGAACCTGACGTCGTTTCACACTTCTGTCTTTGGCACAATCTGAGTCTATCTGTGCCAAATGTGACTTGTACAGTACATTTCTCCAATGTGAGATCAATAAAGCTCATCTTACCTAAAAAGATAAAATGTACACCCTTCTAAGAGATTTCATCATTTCCAGCAGAAGACAACACAGACTGATTGATTTTAAGATTCTTTTAGGGATGCACCGATTGTGACATTTTGGGCTGATACCAATATTTACCATAACAACTTAGCTAATGTTTTTTTCTCTTTGTTAATTATAAATACACAGTTTACGTCTAGGTGGCTTCAGTTTCCTGTCGTCGCTGTAGCTCCGCCTCCTTCTCAAACGTCCAATCAGATTCTTTGTTAAATTATTTTCTTGCAGCTCTCAATCTTAATGATCTTTTGTTTTTCATTTATTCCAATTACTTCCATTTAAATGTGTTACTTTTATCTGACATGTTTTATAAAATGAGGTACATAAACACAGTGGATTGGATAATAATAGTGCAAAAAGTTAAATCTCTTAAGTATCATTTTGTTTTGAGGCTGTAAAACCCTTCACACACTTCATTCAATATTCTAACCACAACCAATTCAGTGTTTGTATAATCTATAAAACAATATAGAAATGTCGGCTCAGTGTCTCCATGGAAACAAGCATGGACCCTGCCTCTTGTAGGACCATAATCATGAACTCACTTTTCTGTTCGATCGGCGTCTCTGGAGGAGATTCTTCTTTAACCAAAGCATTTCTCAGGTCAGAGATGAGGTTTCCTTCGTACACACTTCGCTCTTCCCAAATCGCCAAAATCCTCTCCACAGATTTGATCACTTTCGCGTTGCCGTCGGAGCTGACACAAAACACAATTCAGTCTCTGCTTCAACTGCTACATTCGTCTCGGTTTAGGGAAAGTATAATCCGATAAAACCGATAACTTACTTGATAAGCAGAAAAGCATCAACGAGAACCTCAGAAAAAGCAGTTCTGTAAACGATGGCGTTTCTCCTTTTACAGTTTTGAATGACGTCATTGGCCAAATACAGGAGGTTCAGTCTGTGAGATGGAACCGCTGCAGAACACAAACACATGTCAGAACAATCATACCTTCATATCACCTCCACAGCTCTAAAACTCAAACCAAACGATGGCTGAAAAGAAACCAGTCATGTGACCACTGGACTCTGAACTTGTCCCTGTGTTGTATTGTGTTGTATTGTGTTGTATTTTATGTTGTCATTTCATATGTATTTTCTTACCTAGGGATGAAAACTAGCTTGGTGGCTATAATCCGGCATATTTACATTTGTTCATTGCTGTGCATTGTCCCTATAAGATAAATAGATACATAAATAAATGCACAGTTCTAAATCAAGCTCAATGGGGGTTAGATAAGGGAAGTGCTCGTGGGCAAAGTTTAGCTTCAGCTCTTTTGCTCCTGTTCACTTGCATTGATACGTGAACTCCTCAGGCTCAGTGATCATTTGTGTGGAGCTATTAACAGGTTCTTTTATGAGCCCATATTCTGAGTCATCAGGTCTTTCAGCCTGAGTTTGGCTTTCGAGTCGCACAAGGGACCGACCAGGATGCTCCTGATTGGTGCTTGGTAACTGCGTTTCTAACAAACAGATGAGCACAGAGACGCCTCAGAGGGTTTGGTAAAGGTTACTCACCAAAATAAGTATGTTACCGCCTTGATCCCACCTGTGCAATGATGCATCGATTTTACACAGCACTTTTTTGGACACTTAAGACTCAATAGAAATGACAGAAACACGCCAAACCGTTGCCAATTCAAATAAAATCTATTAATAACCAAAGCTAATGTTTTAATGAGGAGTGGAAGTCTGTAGTGAGTGCGTGCGAGTGTGTGTGCTGTGAGAGTCTGCAGTGTTGAATGGTGTGTAGAAAGTGGACCACAAAATAAACCAAAACAAAACAAACCAAACCAAAGGAGGCGGGGCACGCAGGTGGCAGGATGGGAGCAGGATGAGCCAACAAGAATGTCTGTACGTCTGACGCACGCATCGATGAGCCCTCCCACCTGAGAGGAGAGGCTCTAACACTTCACATGTCATTACTCTCTCTCTCCAAACACGGTGGCTGTAGCCACAGCTGCCCTGGGGCAGACCGACAGAAGCGAGGCAACCAGTCTGTGCCATCGGCCCCTCCCACCACCACCAACCATTCACACACACACCAGACTCATTCTCAGCAATGTGAGTGAAGTTTCTCATCTAAGTTCAAAACGATAACACTTTACAGCCGCAGCCGCCCCACTATGGCACTTGATGTGATGGGAGACCAAAGGTCTCCCATCACAGCACTAACGAGGCCCTACCCTGCTTAGCTTCAGAGGTTTCACATGCAGCTGACGACACAAATGTACTCTCAATCTACTGAGTGTATTTACAGCTACATCCAAGAGCAGGAGACTGTTGGTCAGACACAAATCTGAACCAGAGAGAAGCAGCAACACATTCGTCTGTGTTTGGAGTGACTGAAGAACGACGTCTTTGAGCGTCCAAAAAACCACTATAAACCAATACCTTATTATTATTATAGTTATTATTACATTCAACATGTGGAAGACACTGGGGTCAAAATGAGCTCAAAATTTAACCTTTTGGAACGGCTCAAAACCTCCGTCCTCCGTCCCCAGGGTCAGATGTAAACCAGCCTAAAGGATAACTCCGCTTAAATGCATCAATTGAAAACATTTTGTAATAGTACATAGCCCTTAAAAAGATTTTTTAAAAATCGACTTTTATAATTTACTATTGATAAACAACATAAGGTGCTGTGAAATAATCCTGGTGAGGACCTAACTCCTAAAATCAGCTCAAACCAAAGGCCTCACATTATCACTGAGCACAAATCATTGATCAATCACTCAAAAACTCTAATTATAAAATGATCAATCTCTTTACATGAGACACAAATTTCTCAAAACTGAGTCACAAACTAATATCCCATCCATGTTTCACACAGAAACCACGGCCGCGAGCTCAGAGTCCCCTCAGTGCTTCATCAGATTGATCCAAACGTCTGAATCTGATCCTGATCGTTCTCATTGATCCAAACAAGTGCAGCTAAACTAAAGTGCTAAAGGTTTGGGTTCATCTCAGGTCTTTTGGCGCATTATTCACACGTTAGATCAGAAAACCATAGAGCGGCTTTTTCAATCTCATCTCATCTTAAAAGTGCCTCAGGAAGACTCCGGCAGCAGAAAGTGGCTCGACCATTCTATAGAATGTAAAATGATAAATAACAATGTAATGATCGATCAACAAATCACAACTAATATATTCATAGAGAGAAGCAGATAGCAAGAAGGTCCTGGGTTCGAATCCCAGTCGAAACAGGGCCTTTCTGAGTGGAGTTTGCATGTTCTCCCTGTGTCTGCGTAGGTGTCCTCCAGGTGCCACTAAAAACATGTACAATAGGTCTGTGCCTCCTGAACTGGCCCTGGTCTGGACTGGTCTGTGAAAGGCGCTATAAATAAAAAAATAAAGAAATAAACAATGCCATTTATTTCACTCTAAACAATTACCCAAAATGCAATTCGGGAATCATAAATAAATCACATTGAACATCAGTCTACAGCTTCTTTAGCTTTGGTCCAAGTTCAGGTTCAACTCAAACATAATGTTCAGAAAAACATTGTATTTATTCAAAGTATTGTCTAAAATATCTCCAGAACCATTGATGCAAAAGATGAGCTAAAACCAAAACCAGCCACGATTAAAAACATGTGAAATCTTGGAATCTTCCTCAAAATGATCCTGTTTCCATCGACACACTGCACTAATGGATCATCAGAGCATTAGCATTAGCATCACAACACATTTTTGCATCCAGGACTTGGACCAATCACAGAAGGGGGCGGGACGGCGAGATGGAAAATAAACAAAAAATGCTAAATATTGGCATTTAAGTTCAAACATGAGCCACAAGTGAGAACTGATCTTTTGTTTAGTTAATTTGTAAGAAGTTTTCAATGAAAGAAAACTTTAAATAGTGTAATAACTGTATAAATGTTTCTTGAAATCACTTTGTCCTTAATAATAATAACAATAATAATAATTATACACACAATAATGGAAAGTTTAAAAATTAGTTCTTCACTTCTGAACTTCAGCTGGAAACACACGATTTAGAACTCTGGAAGCTTCACACGCCTGAGTCCTGAGTCCTGAGTCCTGGATCCTGAGTCCTGAGTCCTGGATCCTGAGTCCTGGATCCTGAGTCCTGGATCCTGGGTCCTGAGTCCTGAGTCCTGAGTCCTGGATCCTGAGTCCTGGATCCTGGGTCCTGGATCCTGGGTCCTGAGTCCTGAGTCCTGGGTCCTGGGTCCTGGGTCCTGAGTCATGGGTCCTGGGTCCTGAGTCCTGGATCCTGAGTCCTGGATCCTGGGTCCTGAGTCCTGAGTCCTGGGTCCTGGGTCCTGAGTCTTGGGTCCTGAGTCCTGAATCCTGGGTCCTGAGTCCTGGATCCTGAGTCCTGGATCCTGAGTCCTGGATCCTGAGTCCTGGATCCTGAGTCCTGGATCCTGAGTCCTGAGTCCTGAGTCCTGGGTCCTGGGTCCTGAGTCCTGGGTCCTGAGTCCTGAGTCCTGGGTCCTGAGTCCTGAGTCCTGAGTCCTGAGTCCTGAGTCCTGGGTCCTGGGTCCTGAGTCCTGGATCCTGAGTCCTGGGTCCTGAGTCCTGAGTCCTGAGTCCTGGGTCCTGGGTCCTGAGTCCTGGGTCCTGAGTCCTGAGTCCTGAGTCCTGAGTCCTGAGTCCTGAGTCCTGAGTCCTGGATCCTGAGTCCTGGATCCTGAGTCCTGGATCCTGAGTCCTGGATCCTGAGTCCTAGATCCTGAGTCCTGGATCCTGAGTCCTGGATCCTGAGTCCTGGACCCTGAGTCCTGGATCCTGAGTCCTGGATCTTGACTCTATATAAATGCCACCTCCTCTTACAAAATGAGCCAGATAAGTCACTTCTATGGCTTTTATAGCAGTTTAATGGCTGCTTATTTCTGCCATTTATTGGTCTTCATAGGCTGGCACGATGGCTGAATGGATAGCCACCTTCTGAGCAAGAAGGTCCTGAGTTCGAATCCCGGTCGGAAAGCAGCTTTTCAGAGTTCCTCCAGGTGCGCCGGTTTACCCTACCACTAAAAACATGCACAGGTCTGACATGTACCTCCTGTAGGATTTTTCTTCCGTTTTGCAAAGTTGTTTCAATATAATTATCTGTCGCAACACATCAGAGCTTTAAGTTTGGATAAAGAGCAGTTCACTTCGATATTTATAATTGTGTATATGTGTATTTGCTAAAGCTCTACTTCATATCAATATAAAGAATAGTCCTTCAACCCAACATTTATTCTTGTCTGGCCTTAAATCAGAACAATAGTCTTCTCAATTGTGTCTAGTGCAGACCGATGCAAAGATAGTCCGGCCTTATCCATCCGTACTCTCCTGTCAATCATCATGTCCTGCATGTAACGTCTGGGTCTGGTCCCTGTGTTAGTGATTACAATCGGTTGAATTCCATCCGACCAATCAGAGAGCACGGGAGGCGGGTGTTTTAGTTAGTTGTGGGAGACGTCAAGAGTTTGCGTTGAACGGGCAGGTTGTAGTTTGGCGAAGAATGTGATAGTAAAGTATTCTGGTCTGGTTCTATCAAGAAACTGAAGCCGGAGCAAATACTGTGGCGCTACTCCCCACGGGCTCCGTTTGTGGCAAAGGAGAAGGAGATAGCATTTAGCATTTAGCCTAGCTTGAACCAACGACTCACTTGGGCTCCTTACATACGTCACAGTAAACTCAGATCCAATGGTTTCAATCTGCAAAAGGAGTTAGCCCCTCCCACCTGTTCACGGAGTCAATGGAGCAAATCCAGACCTTAGTACAGAATGTAATTTGTACTATGGTGTGGTAAGACCAGGCTAATGCAAAGACACAATTATATATATATATGTCATTGTAGCCCAACTTACAAACCTCGGCTCCAAGTTGTATTTCTTTTCATATTAGAAACTGTAGAAAACGAAGACAATGCAGCAGTGACAGATGGATCAGAAGTGTGTGAACCAAACAGACCCTGAAGGCGTCACGTGTCATAAAAACAAACACGTGTACTTTATCTGCTCGAGTCATGACATTGTTATTACATGAGCAGGAATGTTCTACAGATATCTTTACAGCCAAAATATATGAGAGACTGACAATTGTAACGCATGTGTTTTTATCAGAGCTTTACAGTCCTCTGTCCACAGCACTTTACAGCCCTCGGTCCACAGCACTTTACAGCCCTCGGTCCACAGCACTTTACAGCCCTCGGTCCACAGCACTTTCCAGCCCTCGGTCCACAGCACTTTCCAGTCCTCGGTCCACAGCACTTTCCAGTCCTCGGTCCACAGCACTTTCCAGTCCTCGGTCTACAGCACTTTACAGTCCTCGGTCTACAGCACTTTCCAGTCCTCGGTCCACAGCACTTTCCAGTCCTCGGTCCACAGCACTTTACAGCCCTCGGTCCACAGCACTTTACAGCCCTCGGTCCACAGCACTTTACAGCCCTCGGTCCACAGCACTTTACAGCCCTCGGTCCACAGCACTTTACAGCCCTCTGTCCACAGCACTTTACAGCCCTCGGTCCACAGCACTTTACAGCCCTCGGTCCACAGCACTTTACAGCCCTCGGTCCACAGCACTTTACAGCCCTCGGTCCACAGCACTTTACAGCCCTCGGTCCACAGCACTTTACAGCCCTCGGTCCACAGCACTTTACAGCCCTCGGTCTACAGCACTTTACAGCCCTCGGTCTACAGCACTTTACAGCCCTCGGTCTACAGCACTTTACAGCCCTCGGTCTACAGCACTTTACAGCCCTCGGTCTACAGCACTTTACAGCCCTCGGTCTACAGCACTTTACAGCCCTCGGTCTACAGCACTTTACAGCCCTCGGTCTACAGCACTTTACAGCCCTCGGTCTACAGCACTTTACAGCCCTCGGTCTACAGCACTTTACAATCCTCGTCTACAGCACTTTACAATCCTCGGTCTACAGCACTTTACAATCCTCGGTCTACAGCACTTTACAATCCTCGGTCTACAGCACTTTACAATCCTCGGTCTACAGCACTTTACAATCCTCGGTCTACAGCACTTTACAATCCTCGGTCTACAGCACTTTACAATCCTCGGTCTACAGCACTTTACAATCCTCGGTCTACAGCACTTTACAGTCCTCGGTCTACAGCACTTTACAGTCCTCAGTCTACAGCACTTTACAGTCCTCAGTCTACAGCACTTTACAGTCCTCAGTCTACAGCACTTTACAATCCTCGGTCTACAGCACTTTTTACAATCCTCGGTCTACAGCACTTTACAATCCTCGGTCTACAGCACTTTACAATCCTCGGTCTACAGCACTTTACAATCCTCGGTCTACAGCACTTTACAATCCTCGGTCTACAGCACTTTACAATCCTCGGTCTACAGCACTTTACAATCCTCGGTCTACAGCACTTTACAGTCCTCGGTCTACAGCACTTTACAGTCCTCAGTCTACAGCACTTTACAGTCCTCAGTCTACAGCACTTTACAGTCCTCAGTCTACAGCACTTTACAGTCCTCAGTCTACAGCACTTTACAGTCCTCAGTCTACAGCACTTTACAATCCTCGGTCTACAGCACTTTACAATCCTCGGTCTACAGCACTTTACAATCCTCTGTCTACAGCACTTTACAATCCTCGGTCTACAGCACTTTACAATCCTCAGTCTACAGCACTTTACAATCCTCAGTCTACAGCACTTTACAATCCTCGGTCTACAGCACTTTACAGTCCTCGGTCTACAGCACTTTACAATCCTTGGTCTACAGCACTTTACAATCCTCGGTCTACAGCACTTTACAATCCTCGGTCTACAGCACTTTACAATCCTCGGTCTACAGCACTTTACAGTCTTCAGTCTACAGCACTTTACAGTCTTCAGTCTACAGCACTTTACAGTCCTCAGTCTACAGCACTTTACAGTCCTCAGTCTACAGCACTTTACAGTCCTCGGTCTACAGCACTTTACAGTCCTCAGTCTACAGCACTTTACAGTCCTCGTCTACAGCACTTTACAATCCTCAGTCTACAGCACTTTACAGTCCTCGTCTACAGCACTTTACAATCCTCGGTCTACAGCACTTTACAGTCTTCAGTCTACAGCACTTTACAGTCTTCAGTCTACAGCACTTTACAGTCCTCAGTCTACAGCACTTTACAGTCCTCAGTCTACAGCACCTCAGTCTACAGCACTTTACAGTCCTCAGTCTACAGCACTTTACAGTCCTCAGTCTTGTGCACGCGCTCACCTTTCCTCACGTGTTTGAGCCAGTGACGCACGATCACGCTGTGGTATTTCTTGTTCTCGATGCACCATGTAGACAGACTTTGAATCGAGTCCATGGTGTTGGTCACGTTTTGGAACTTTCGCGCTAAGGTGGACTCCAGGGAGCCGCCAGAAGACGCCCCCGCAGCCATGACGTTAAGATCCGAGAGAAACTTTGCACGTAAAAAGCCTGGATGTTAGCAGTTAGCTTAGCCGGCTAGGTTAGCGTAGCACAAATATCAGCACGTCCTTACGTCGCTCTGGTTTCATTGTGGCACTAAAGGCACAGAATTAAACCGATTCTAACCGTGCTATGTCGTGTCTACCTAGGACTTCTCTTTTACTACATTTATCAGACGCAATAAGACGTTAGAACTTGACAATTGAGGCTAACACGTAGCATTGTCTCTCTGCGGCGCTATTTACTCATGGACACCACACACTTCCGGAATGACAAATGCATGATCGCCCCCTAGTGGACACTGATCACAGCTTTCACACAGCGCTCTCTGCAGGAAATGTTAAGATTGATCCTTTATTCGTCCTACAGTGGGGAAATTTCAGTGTTGCATCACTACAGAACTATAGCAATGAGGAGCACACAAGATAAATGAACAATCACTCTGTACTAAATAAAATGAAAATAAAAAAGCATAAAAATAAGCAGTATAAAATCTCTGTCTTTAGCGTAATGAGAACAAAAACTGTATCTATTTGAAAGTCTATGGATTATTCTTCTGGACATCACTGGGAAACCGCCATATGTATCAACCAGAACTAATGTACATTGCTCATGGATTAAAGGAAGTATTAACCTGAATACTGGTTAGAAACAAGTTGATTCTGTGCCAGAGATGGAATCATAGACTGTATTGATTCTGTGCCACCCACAATCCCATTTTTATGTGTGTTGGTTGTGTGAACGTATTTGTATTTACCGTCTCCGGCGTAACTTTAATAAGTTTCTGTATTTAATGCAAATTAAATATAAATATGAATAATAAATGTATTCTTAAAAAACCTAAAAACTGATAATCAGGGATTCACCAAAGCAATCCTGGTATTGGGTATCACGGGCGCTGATGTTGGAAAAGCTGTAGGATTGCGTCTGTGTAATATAACCCAGTGTCAGACTGGATCGGTTAATCCCCTTTGATCACTTGCTAACATGCCCCACCGTAATCATAAATGATAACTCATAAAGCCAGTCTCTGTAAAGATGGTGTTTTGTGTTTCTAATTCCCTCACATTATGTTTTAGTGTAATCCCTGTGCTCTGATATCTCTTTGGTGGATTCTCACTTGCAGCTTTTTATTTGAAGAGAAAACCAAATGCAAACATGTGTTATGTAACGTGGACACGTGTCACAGATGTAATGTGCCGCTCGCCAACATGAAGTCTGCAGATCAATAGAGAAAGGTCTATTCACTGTTCACCATCTCAGTATGTGACATTTATCAATCATTTACTGTTGACAGTACAGAAGACGGACACATAGTTGCGTTAAAAAAAGAAGCCAAGTTGTTTTTAATAATTAATAATGAAAAACATACAATAAAGATCTGGAGACAAATGCAGAAATGTTGTTTAAGGAACAAAGGTGTGAGTAGTTTTATCAGGCTACATTTTGTGCCTGGGTCGACGTGACGGTGTGTTGTGATTGTCAAGTTAAGGCCAGTGGTGCAAACCACCAGAGGTGAAACCTCATTCAACGTGAATGATATGACATTCTCATAAACAAGACAATTGCACAAAATACTTGAATTGTGTGTTTCCCTAAATCAACAGTAAAGCACTTTTCAGAGAAGCAAGACCCCAAAGCCAGAATCTATCGGACTGGGACATTCTTTACACTTTAGTGTACACAGCGTCTGTGGCTCAGAGCCCAAAACCATCTGCACACATCTGTTTAGAGACAAGGGCCTTGTCTAAAATACAAAACTTTTGCAGTTTGTCACATTTAAGTAATAAATAAACATTTCAAATTCTACAATAAATTATAAACTTTTGTTTTTTCTAAGGGACACTTTCCAAATCAGATTTCATGTTTGAAAGAATGTTTCAAAAGTAGTTCTTTGGAGATGTTTTAATCAGTTTTTGCTAAAACAAAATAACGACTAATACTTTTAAAACTTTTGTCCATGAATCACACAAATGAGGATTTCACTTGTTTCTAGATTCCTTGATATAAACTGGCAGATGGATGTGTTATATTTATATAATAGTCTTTTTAAGACCTTCATGTGAATACTTTGGTCAACAATCATATTTTCAGAAAGTATTTCTGCAGTGTCCCTGTTTAACCATGAACAATATGAAGAGTAAAACCTGATGAATATAAATAGTCCCGTGTGCATGAATGACGGCTGCGTCTCCACCTCCTCTGGCCCTGGGCGGTCACATACTGCTGCTGTGTGAGCTTATGTAACACTCACATCCCGCTATGGCGCCTCCATGTGGCGGCTCGGCTTCACTGAAACTCGTGCGGTGCTGGTGGAAGACACACAGTTGTCCTGAGTGACAGGAAGAGAAATCTCACAGTGCGTTTGTTGGTCTTCCACGTTGGAGGAAGTAATAAACTTGTGTCCGTTCGCACGACCCGCCTCCACGCTCCTGAGAGTCAGACCTTTGTGAGAGCTTTGTTTATCAAATCCAGGGAGGGACGTCACAACATCACAAATTGCATGTTTTTCTTGTTTGAGTTCTTTGTGCTTGGATGAGAGTGCAGCGGAGCGGTCAGGGTCGGGCCAACTCATCTTTCTCTTCTGCAAATGGAAAAACAAAAAGAAAAGTGAGACTTGTGGTTTTTAAACAGTTACTGTAATTGGACAGAAGGTTTTCCACATACACATTTTAACACAACACGGAGATGTTATGGCTGTGCTTCCTATTTCTCACTTCTCTCACTTTTATATTATGCAACCGTCAGGCCATAATACTGTATTACCACCACCGCAGCCACACAGATAATCTCTTTATCACAGCAAAGGCTTCAGATGTATCATGTCTTGGGCAGAATGTGACGATAGCAGTAAACAGGGTAAATATCCAATCACATCATCAAACATAGCATTGCCCACTAGTCATTACAGCTCATATAGAACAAAGGGAAGACGTAAACAACAGGAAGACACCATTACATAACAAATGTTTTGTTGAGCCGGCGCTGGATCGATTCCAATAAGATTGGAGTCAGAAAATAACAACCTTAGAATGAGTTTTTGTAAATCTTGTGTGAAATGAAAACTTCCATTGTGCTGTTTAAGCCCCAACTACAATTACATGGCATTAAGTGGAGTTTTGCGTAGAAAGTCTCGCGCAGCCAAGGCCAGGGTTTATAAATAGGTAATCCAAGGTTAAATGACGCAATTGTGACTCATGGGAACAGGTTGTACGCGACACAAGATCAGGAATATTGTCAGAACTTGTGCTGTTTGTGGAAAGTATCGTCCTGGTCCGTAAGATAAAGACAGATACAACTAATCTCTGTCCGTTTTAATCACACGTGTCCATTAAGTATCTCAATGCACTTCCTTTTGTGTATTAAGATAACGTGTTCTTTTGGAAAAACATCTCACGACCAGAACGAATCATAACTGGACCAGGATGCGCTTCAATTGGACCAAATTGGACCACGCCCGATCCAAGTCTAAGACCGTGGATCCCAAAGAAGCCATTGGGATTTTGACATTGAATTAAATATATTTGTGGAATTGGCTCGGTTAGTTTGGGGTCCTGGAAAGTCCCGGGGCGCTGACATGCTTGTAATCTTGACTCCTCGCCGGTGGGGGTGTACCCGGAAACAGAATTATCCATTGAATCCTAATGACGTTTTTTTAATCCTCTCGAAAACGTCTTTACAGCCTCTTGGTCCAACACTACGTTCCAGATGCTGTTAATATTGAGGAGACTATCGTTTTTGTTTGGACCAGTCTAGTTTAGCCGCTGTGGACTTTTGAATGCACTTGTTAAATGACAGGGGCTGGTGAAATGCATTTTTTTTTTCACATTTTGTATCTGCCCATGTCTGTGGCACGATACGTTTCAACAGACATCTCTATCAATATTTAGTTTATGGTCCTGGCCTGATAAGTTAGGGGACCCTGCTTCAAGAGTAAGGCTTCAAACATTGTATTGGAAGCCTATCAACTAGAAAATCATATGGTGTATTCTGTGACAGATGTGGCCTCACAGGGGATTTCTCTCTCCACATACACAGTTGAAAACAGCACAAACCTGTAGCTACTGAGTCTAGTTTAAAAGCCTCACATACAGTATAGAAATGTGACGCACCTTGACTGGGATGTGCATCTGGTTCTGGCACCAGTGATGAGTGCGTTTCATTGCGAGGGTTGAATGTGACTCTCTGTTGACCTGAGGAAACCACATCTTCAGCATCACTTCGATCTGCAGGAGGTTTTGGAGGTATTTCTCACTGCAACAAAACAGTTCAGGGTCACTACAACGACACATGTTTCAACAAATACAAGTTGGATTATTGACCAAAGGCTCCGGTACAGAGACATTTTACAGAGAAAGAGGTGAAAACATGGGAATTCTTGTATATTGTGTGCATGGGTTTAGACTGATCTGGATTTGAAGGACTCTCCGCGAACGGCAACAGACAAAGCAGAAGAAAAAGGTTGAAGTGGATGTGAGGACCTTCAGCCTAAAGATATAATATTTTGTTTTTGAGTTGGAGGTGGAGGACTTTTTTTCTTAAACAACTTAAAATCAGAAAGATCCAGGTCGCAACATGGAAATGATAGTAGCTCTAAGCATCATGGATTTTTTTAGTTTTGAGAAATGATTCCGGGTTCAACAGCTGAGATTAGTCTTTTGCTTTTACTATGTTCAAATCATACAAAAGACAATAATAACATGTGTTGGATAAGAATAATGGCATTACGCAACTTCAAATGATAAAAAAAACGTTATGCTAGCGGCTCTTTCTTTTCAGACCGTTACCTAAGAGAGGGCAGGTTTAGACGTTTGCTTTAGCCCGGATCTCAAAGTAGAGAAGAACTTATACAAAATAAGTCACATTTGCACTTGTTTTGAAACTGTTTTAGTCGATTGATTTCACAGTGACATTTGTTTACTGTTTTATTTGTTTTATTTTTGTCTTTTAATGTTGTTTTAAGTCTGTATTTGTCTGTGCACACTGGAGACTTTTTGCTAATGTATTCCAATGTGCCTCTTTTACTGCAAATGGCAAATAAACTGAATCTGAATTTAAACGATCGATCCGAACACAATTGAGTACAATCAAAAATGCGTATCTGGTTCAGTCATTTACAGCCTTCTTCTTCAGCCACTTTTGGTCTTACACACATTCAAATATTGTTTTAGAAATAGTTAAAGGCTTCTGGTGTCAGATGCATGTAGGTAGAATTCTGCTTTTAAAATAAATACGTTTTGATAAAAAAGAAAACATAAAAACACTTAAAATTTTTGCCATAAGTTGTTGGTAAAATCATGAACATATTTCACGTTTGGAACTATACATTTTATACCAAAACAGGTTGATTTTAAACACCATGATCGACCTGAGTGAGTGAGCGTCATGTGCATCCTGTTTGTGTTTTTGTTTCTTGCTCACCCCATATCGGGCTTCTGCAAAATGCCCACAATCCTTTGCAGTCTGTCAATTGCGACACTTTGCTGAAAACTGGTCAGACCTGCACAGAACAATCAAACAACAGCGGATCAGACGACGACGAAATCCAGAGACACAGTAAACGGCGTCAAGAGTCTGAAATGCACAGACCTTTGTCGAAGCGGCCGCTCTTGAGTCCGTGAAGCAGCTCCAGCAGCGGCCGGTTGTACTTCTGCAGATCCGCACACTGTAAAACCAGACGGAGGGATAGTTTAGGGATGATTTTACAGAGCAGAGCAAAGTGCTGTACAGACAAGCGGAAAACAGCAGCAATAAAAACACAAAAACATCACAAAATTTTGGTAATTCAACTTTTTTCTTTCATTATTTTTGACGTGTTGCTGCTAATAACACGTGACCAAAGCTGAGTGACAGTTTATTTTAACAATTACATCTTACTTAGTGGTTGTCTTTCAATCAGCACCAAAGTAAAAAACGTCTTACCGTATTTTATAAGGCGCATTATAAAGTTATGCCTTTATTTTCATATTTAAGGTGCACTGGATTATGAGGCGTATGGTTGAAATTAAAGGCTTTTATGTGTATCTAATACGATATTTTAAAGCCGAGATACCTAAGTTGCTTTGTTAGTAATACATTTTGAATTTTGCAACCCGGCTACACATCAGACTACAATGTTCTGTCTCTATCGTATTAGAAAATGTGTTATATTTTGCCGCGTGAGTCACTACTTGACACTGATTTAAAGATGGGACAAAAATACACGTGAGAACCAGAGATGGAGCCGCGCTGTTCTGAGAGAGAAGAACCGGTTTGACCAAGTTTATGAGAAATAGGTCCATATTTCGTGGTTTGAAAGTCGCATATGACAGCTTCAAGTTCCTGATCCAGTTTTTTGTGTCATAACAGGCGTCTGAGGTCTTCCATCAGAACCTCTAACCCTCTAAAACCAGAGGAGACAGATTTGATGGTGGCTGAAATATGGCGCCGTGGCAGGAGCTCTGGTGTGTACAGTCTGCTGCACACTGGGATAGTCTTGCAGTTTTTCCAATGTGGTTTTACTGCAAGTGTCTCTGCACATGTTAGAGTCAGTGGACAACTTCAAGTCCCAACTTCAGACCTATTAGTTTTGGCATCTCTCTCTCCTCATTAGGCCAGAGGTGTCCAAACCGGTCCAGAAAGGGCCGCTCTGGCTGTAGGTTTTCTATCAGACCCAACAGGAGCGGAATAGACTCCACCCACTTCCTCAAATCTTCAGGTTAAGACTGAACTCACTTGAGGAAATGGGCGGAGTCTGCTCTGCTCCTGCTGGGTCTGATAGAAAACCTGCAGCCAGAGCGGCCCTTTCTGGACCGGTTTGGACACCTCTGCATTAGGCCTTTCTCTGAAGTGTGTTTATGATTATTCTGTATATTTTCATAGTTGTGTGGTCTTCTGTTTTGTCTGTTTTATATATTTTATTAACCAAGGTAACTGGCATGTTATTGCTTTTACTGCGTACATAATGTTTTACTTATTCATTCATCTTTAAACATAAAAAGCTGGCAAACCTGTATATTCCATCTGTATATTTAAACGTGTTACTTTAATCTCTGTACAGCATTTTAGAAACTTATTTTATAAAATGTGCTATATAATTAAAGTAGATTTAACGGGATTATATTCGTTTTTTTAACTGACTTGTACGTGTGGTATTTTTCTCTGTATGTTTTTAAATGTGAGGTGCTTTGAGATCTCGGTCTATGAAAGTCACTGTAGTAATAAACTTGACTTTCATACTTTAAACACGGGTAATTCAGTCTGTGTATATGTTTTATTCTTAAAAAGGTCAATTCTTTAACTTCCTCAGAGATAAATCAGTCTAAAAAGTGTCTAAGAACGACCCAAACTTTGGTCCATCCACTTTTTGAAAAACACAGAACCGTAAAGAGCATGTTTAAAAGGATTTGTTCTTACTTTTTGAGCAAAGGCCAGGTCTCCGGCTGAAGCGGCGGACATGGCGGCTGTGGAGAGGTTGGAGAGAGTCGGAAAGTACTGTATGTGTTTATCTTTGGGACAGGACGTTCTGGGTCGACCTCCCTGAGCCTCGAAGAAAACCTCACTGGGCACAAAGTCTGGGGAGCTGGACACACGGGAATTCATCTGTGGAAACAAAGCAAAACGCAAGAATTAGCTGCGGCAATATCACAGTCAAAGATACGTGTGGATTACAGCGCATTTTAAAACCATGTGGAACTAAAACACACATGAATTACGCAGAAGACCATGATCAATTTGATTGCGATGGAAAGAAATGGGTTGTTAGGGATTTTACTACAATGGTCTTGAGAAATTATGACTAAATTCAAAAGGTGTTTATGTTTTGTATTGAGATAAAAACTCACTTTCTTTTGGAATAAATTGCAGTAATTACTCATGTTTTTGTGTATTGAGTGGACTACAATAAGTTCAAGCTAATTTGTGCCAGAATGAGAATGATCTGTATTGATATTATAGTAACAGGAAGTCACAAAGTAGGATTTTTCTTTGGCTCATGATGCAAACAAGTTAAAAAACCTGCTGTTGATCTATTTCAGAGAATGTGTAAAGTATGTTTTAATTACTTTTAAAAGCTTTCCAAATACCACTAAATATTTGGTCTTCAAAGCACCACCACATCTTTAAAGTAACTGTCTAGACTTTTTGTAGAAGTCGTTCCCAAATGACAACATGTGGAAGAACTCAGAATTAACGACAAATTAAGACCCAGCAAACCCATGTTTTATGGTCGGCAGAAGAATATTCCCCTTCAGTATCTCTGTCCATGTGTGAGCGTCACGTCTCGTCTAAAAAGTCTGGTTCACTCAAAGCAGAAGGGAAATGTTGCAATGAATCATGAATGTATATCTCTCTTATTGCTCAATAGTCTCACCACATATAACCTCAAAGCAACTCCCAACGACTTGGGAAATATGATCCGCGTTTACAATGATAGAGCAACTAATCTGTGCTCTACGCGGCACGGTGGCTGAGTGGTTAGCACTCTCGCCTCTCAGCAAGAAGGTCCTGGGTTCGAATCCCGGTCGGACCAGGGTTTTTCTGAGTGGAGTTTGCATGTTCTCCCCGTGTCTGCGTAGGTTCCCTCCAGATACTCCGGTTTCCCCTACCGCTAAAAATATGTACAATAGTTCTGGCATGTGCCTCCTGTTCTGGCCCCTCCCATCTCTGTGTGGAGTGAGAGACTAATGCCCAAAAAATAACAATTGTAAAACCGCTTTGAGACTCAGATCTGCAGTGAAAAGGCGGTATATAAATGATTACTTACTTACTTACTGAACCGTGCCAAAAACGTGCCACTATTGTTATTATGCAGTCACATTTGGAACATTTTGAGCAGATAGTGTGTGTTCAGGTCATTCTGGGACAGCAGCTGGACTGTCACCCTCTTTAACACATGCAATATTGTGATACCATTGCTCCATGTGTATAAGGCGCTATTTAAAGACGACTTAAGGGACTTGGTGCAGGTTCAAAGGAAGTGGAGGTAGTTTTTTGAGTTTTATGCAGCTATTTTACATGTTCAGAGCTACTTTTCATGGCAGAGACTTTGAAAGAGTTTGAAAGAAAGTCTATATAACGTAGAATTCGTATAAGACACAGTGAGATGCCTATAAAACAGCCTTTTATCTATGTATTCACGTGCAAAGTCAAAGTTGGATTTTTAATTCTTATATATACATTGCAATATTTTGGACCAAGCTAGGTCTAAATAACTTGCAGCCTGATCATCCAGACCCATACGAATTAGCAGTACTGCTTTGGGAGCTACTGGGAGGGGGTGGTGAGCTACTGGCACTACCCATGATTAGTGATTTAAGTCATTTTTTGTATTTATCTGTGTCTTGTGGTGTCTTTGCAATGTCTTTTATATGGACCTTAAGTCTAGAATACAGATTATTAGAGTTAGACAGAATAGTAAGCCTTAAAATCCATGTTTCTTTTTGATATTTAACCTGCTTCTGATGTTCTAGTTGTGCTGTATTTTAATCTGTAGCACTTCCTGGAAATGTAATGCTCAATGTGATTAAAATGTATTTTTATTATGAGTTTCTGACAGACGCCCTTGTGGCTGTGGAAGGGTGGGTCAAATGCAGAGGACCTATCTCCCCACGGGGACTGTATAAAGTACAACGTAAGATGAAATGAAAGGGTTCTACAATAACAATAATGAAGGATATTACATATAATAACATAGCGTTGGTATTGGGTAAGTAATAAAGAAGGAAGCTTACCTTTTACTGCTGCGAAAAAAAAATTCAGTATTTAAAAAAACGACCAAAATAATAAAATGTTACTTCAAGTCCAGATTTTACCCGTTTAGAGACAAAAACAAAAATATATAAATATCAGAGACAGCTTCGGGGATATGTTTTCCTGTCAGGCAGCGATCCTTTGTAGTAGAAATGCTCAAGTCTCACAAAAGTCCCGCACGGAAAAGCAAAGCGACTCTACACGTGCTGGAGACTGCGCCGCTGTGATTGGCTGGGGCTCTGAGTGCGTCGGCTGTGATTGGCTCCACTCCGGGCCCAATGGTGCATGTCCTGCGCTCTGATTGGCTGAGCGTGTGTGCGTGGATGGGAGGCGCGGACGCACGTGTGCCTGGTGTGGTGTTGGAGGAAAAGAACGAGCCCAGACACATTTTGTCTTTTGTACGAGTCATGATATTGTTTTACGTAAAGGCACGTGTTTAAGTAACGGGGTAACTGTAACGGCCACATTGCGACGCACTGACGTTACTCTACGTCTACATGGCATTGATTACAAGTGTTATTTAGTTAAACATACTCAAACTTAACATTGAGTTATTGGAAATGGCAAGACAGGTTTATTGTATAGCACAATTCATACACAAGGCAACTCAAAGTGCTGAACAAAATAAGAAAGCATAAATAATCACAGAACATTAAAAAGAAAGATAAAAATATAAAATACCTAGGTTCTCTGCAGCTAAACAGAACTGTTTTTAACCTGGTTTTAAACATTGTCAGAGAAGAGGCCTGTCTCACACTTTCAGGAAGATTGTTCCAGATTTTAGCAGCATGAATCTGAAAAGCAGCCTCCCCATGTTTAGTTCTGACTCTGGACACTAACAGGAGTCCAGTCCCTGTGCTCCTCAGAGTCCCAGCAGGAGTCCAGTCCCTGTGCTCCTCAGAGTCCCAGCAGGAGTCCAGTCCCTGTGCTCCTCAGAGTCCCAGCAGGAGTCCAGTCCCTGTGCTCCTCAGAGTCCCAGCAGGAGTCCAGTCCCTGTGCTCCGCAGAGTCCCAGCAGGAGTCCAGTCCCTGTGCTCCTCAGAGTCCCAGCAGGAGTCCAGTCCCTGTGCTCCTCAGAGTCCCAGCAGGAGTCCAGTCCCTGTGCTCCGCAGAGTCCCAGCAGGAGTCCAGTCCCTGTGCTCCTCAGAGTCCCAGCAGGAGTCCAGTCCCTGTGCTCCTCAGAGTCCCAGCAGGAGTCCAGTCCCTGTGCTCCTCAGAGTCCCAGCAGGAGTCCAGTCCCTGTGCTCCTCAGAGTCCGGGCTGGTTCATATGGGACTAACATGTCACTAATATATTTTGGTGCGAGGCCATGGAGAGACTTGTAACAAGCAGAGCTGTTTTAAAGTCTATTCTCTGAGCCACAGGAAGCCAGTGCAGAGACCTGAGGACTGGACTAATCTGGACTGGACTAAATGCAAGTAAACATAGATTAGAGCAGGGGTCCCCAATCTTTTTCAGTCAGAGAGCTACCTGAAAGGGGCTGGCGAGCTACTGGTAGCTCCCAAGTTACAGGTTGGAGACCCCTGGATTAGATAGAGGGATAGTCCTACTGAATACTGCTGTAAAAGAGCTATATTTAACATATTGTGGTTAAAGCTGGGGTACCTAAACACGTTTCTGTCCATGGATCTATTATATATTTCCAACTAATAATAGATCTAACCTCAACCTCTTGTCTGGATCATAGAAAGGCTAGTAAGTTGGGATGGTCTTCTCTTTTTCACTTTTCTACCTAAAAAGGTTGATTTAAAGGTCTACAGGAGGATTTTCTGCTTCCGGGTGGATCATCAAGGCTATTGGTCCTCCCAGGTGTCAATCATTCTGGTGATAGTTCTCGTCAAGACCACAGAGCTTTGTTAAGAAAGTGGAGAGGGCGGTTCTTTCCTAAAAATTGGGGAAATTCTCCTTTATACCTTTAAATATGCGACACAGAACCACAGACTGTGAATATGATAGAATAGAATCACAGTGTTTTGAGAGATTAAAACTACTGGGATTTAATCACATTTAATTTAACATTTTTGTGGTTTGTAAGGGATGTATCCAAGCTTTAATAAAATACAGTCTGCTTCCTGATTGGCTGGGAATTGGTGATGTGTTAGACATTTCCAGCAGTGTGACAGAGTGTGATGACATGTTTAATTATGAAGCTTCAAAGGCCTCTTGACTGTGCCCTGGGCTTAACTTACACTCATACTTACATAATGAGATTGTTGCATGTTTCCAAGTCTTCTGCGCGTAGGTTTGTCTCTGGTGAGCTCATGTGCTGTCTGTGATAGAGTTTAGGCGTGTTTAGACATACAATAATTGCAGAGTGGGAGAATATAATTGCTAGCTTGTTATTATCCAGGCTAAAGGCAGCAGGCTACAACTATTGACAAAACAAAGTGACTTAAATACATTCAAAGTGTGCATTAGTTATTTGAACAAACACCAGAGGCTTGTGTTATTATTAGATGCTAAAAAGGGCTGCGATCATATTCATAGAACCGTAGTTACATTAGGTAACTGGGGTTCCCGTTTTAACCGTTAATGTTGTTGGTGGAATTTAGCGGCATTTTAGCAGCACAAAGACTGACAATAAGGTGCTTTGGAAAACTGAATTATAATACATCATAAAGATCAAACTATTCTCTCTGGACGTATTGAGAAAAATGATACAAAACTGTTTTCCCCTATTCTGCTTCAGGTTGATTGTTTACATGGAACTCGTTGTCAGACTGTACAACGAGAACTGCTGAGTCTGTACATGTGCCACTCACCGGTTCAGATAATAATTCACTTGTCACTTTAACTGTTGTTATTTATTCATCATTTATTAATTTTATAAGATTCTTCTTTGACTTGTTTTGCACCAAGAGCCAATAATTCTGGGTTATTATTACTTCTTTATTACAAATCCATTCATCTAATATTCGTAAGTAAGTAGTAGTAAGTAATGTTTATTTATATAGCGCATTTTACAGACCGGCACGGTGGCTGAGTGGATAGCACTCTCGCCTCTCAGGTTCGAATCCCGGTTGGACCAGGGCCTTTCTGAGTGCAGTTTGCATGTTCTCCCCGTGTCTGAGTAGGTTTCCTCCGGGTGCTCCGGTTTCCCCTACCACTAAAAATATGTACAATAGGTCTGGCATGTGCCTCCTGTACTGGCCACCCCACTCCCAAAAATAACAATTGTAAACCGCTTTGAGACTCCGATGTGCAGTGAAAAGGCGGTATATAAATAAAGATTACTACTACTTACTTACTACTACTACTACTTACCAAGGTACAGACCCAAAGCACTTTCCAATGTTCAGAGTCAGATATTGTTCCAATCCTTCCACACACGGTGATGACAGAAGTGCGTCCAGAACACACTGGTCCATCAAAGCCTCTGACCCAACACCATCCATTCACTCTCTCATTTACATTCAGACCTATTGTGCATGTTTTTAGTGGTAGGGGAAACCGGAGCACCCGGAGGAAACCTACGCAGACACAGGAAGAACATGCAAACTTATATCTTATCTTAAAACCATCAAAAAAATTGAGAATTTCTTAAGGTTCACCGCTTTATCAGTCATGGCAAAAATAAAAAAATTATCACAATAAGCTTGAAATATTTTACCAACTTGACAAATGTGTTGCAAGTGTTTATAACTTATCCTGACATTTAACATGTAATAAACTATTTTTTACACAAAGATGTTCTGCTGTCAACTTTTCACAAGCTGCAAATGTTTTATATCTGTGGCCAGTTCCTTATTGCTCATTAAAATATTAGAACAAATTATTTTTAGAGCTGTTTATAAATGTATAAATATTGTGCCTGATAATAGGGCTTTTACTTGGACTAAAAGCCCCATTATTTTTAACATTTTAGCTGAAGAGGTTACAATAATATAATGTTATAATTCTCATTTACTGAAAAAATTTCCTTTTCTTTATGGCATAATTTCTTCATATACCTTTTAAACATTAAACAAAATAATTTTCATAACTGCTTAGAGATTTTAAAGTCAGCTCAATGAAGAAGCTTGTAAATGTTTCCTTCTTTAACAATAAAACCCTTTGTTGTGACAGATGTAGGTGAGAGTTTACGGCGTCTGTTCATGTCGTGTTAAAATAAAAGTGAGCTTCAGACGAAAGACAAACGCGACCTGGAGATAACCTCAGGAAGTGAATGTTTAACTCGGGACAAATCAGGTCACGGAGATTTAACGCCGGAGAGGCACAAGTGGACGGCAACATAGAACCTGAGCTTGACTTAAAGATTAAGTCCGTGATATTTATACAGACGCATTTTTTTTTTAATATTGTGGGAAAACGTCCCTAGACGTTAAATGTAGTCGAGTTATCTTGTGTTTTCAAATAGTAATGGAATTAACCAGATGTCTAGTCTCCAAAAATTAGTAAAACATATTTTTGAGCGGACCGCTTAAAATAAACCAATGGGATTCGTTCATCCCCAACGAACCAATAGGATGTGTTCAACCCCTTCACCCACTTCCTGTTTCTCGCGAGTGCAACTGAGTTATCGGATTTTCTAAAGCCTAAAATGGCTGAAGAGAAGATGCCAATTTCATGTTTGCTTCACTCTACCTGTGACAAAGAAAAGAAAATGCTGGATGTTTGGTGGAGAGGGAGGGGGGGGGGAGTGGTTTGGTGGAGAGGGGAGTGGTTTGGTGGAGAGGGAGGGGAGGGGGGGAGGGTTTGGTGGAGAGGGAGGGGAGGGGGGTGTGGTTTGGTGGAGAGGGAGGGGGGGGGGGTGGTTTGGTAGAGAGGGAGGGGAGGGGAGTGGTTTCCAGTTGGTGCTACGGCTAAGCTAACAAAATCACTAACTGCACCTTTAATTAGTGAAGCAGGTGTTCGTAGACTGTGAATCAGAACAGTTTACAGTAAACATGAATGCACTTTTGGACAATGTTTTATGCCATAGAAAAATAATAACACGTCACAAGTGTCTCCAACCAATAAAACAGTTCACACATAACTTAAATGTACTCCTTTCAAGAACACGGTTTAAACTCTGGATTGACTCAATGTTGACGGCTTTATGTCCTTTCGTTAGTCGTCAGAGCTCGTCTTCATCAGTGCTCTTCGTCAGGACTAGCAGCCGAGCCAAGGGTCCTCTCTGTTTGTCTTGGAGATGAAGGCGATCTTTCGGCCCATTTCAGAATGGTAAATTCTCCGGCAGTTCTCAAAGTTCTTTCGGATCCGTTCGCGGCAGGGCTTCTCGTAGTAGCGCTTCCTCTTCACTGTGTCAATAATTCCATCCTGTGTCAGGACCCTGAAAAAAAGAAAAAAAAACACATTTCTTCATTATGGATTATTAGCCAAGAGAACAGATGTTATCAATGAGTTACATTTAAAACTTGCAGAAAAGTTCCTAAATATACAAACAGAGACACTATTGGTGCTTTCATAGTTGTTAGAGGAACATGAATGAGAACATACGACATTGTGGTAGTGTTTGGGTGAAGTTATTCATAAACACTTTTTATATCATAAATCTACAGAAAAAGCAAACTACAGTTTATGTAAACTATGGTCACAACTATAAAGCAAACATCTACTAGTAGCTAATACATCAAATTCACAATGATCATTATTGAACTAAGTAGTCAGGGCTGAAATGTACATATATTTTCAGTGCTTTAGATGGGAGTATTTCAGGGGTTATGGCCATGGATTTAAGATTCAATCGATCATTTACCGTCTATGGTTTTATGATCAGAAGTGCGAGAGACAGCACAGTGTACATGCCACAGCCTGAAGGACGCATGCGCAGTGTGATGACATTCAAAGCAGAGAACGTTCGCAAAAGTCTGTGTTTCCAGTGATTCAGACGAAACCCGCTCCTTCTGTTACTCCTGGATCTCACCTGTTCAAACTCTTGTACGCAGCGTCCACGTTTCCTTCTTGAACCATAACAGTCCGAGCGATGAAGCGGAGGTGTTTCGCCATGATGGCCCTGGTGCTCAAGGCAATAACGGCCGACCGGAAACACAGAAAGAAGAATGGTTCCGCATCAAAGTGAAGTCAACACTAGATGTCGCTTGTGCTAAACATAAATCCAATATCTATCAACAGAGTGATAGAGTATTATGTTCTACCTGCGCATAATCCAGAAAATTACTCAAAAATCACCAAAAAGAAACACTAAAATAATTATGATCAAATCAAGTTGATATGATATAACCATGCCTGTTATAAATTATATACAGAAGAAGCGTTAACCACTGTCCCTGTCTATTTGCTGTCTATGCCGTGGCTACGCTCGGAGCACCATGATGATGTTAAGGTGAGTATTGAGTAATTACTTTCAGGAAGAAAATAACAAACTTTGGGTGCTTCAAGCTGAGAGCTGTGGAACCTTAACATTTCTGTCATAATTAACGCATGTTGTTAGTCCCAACAGAATTCATCTTGTGACATAAAATGGTAAGAAAGAGCCTTGTGAGTCACTATTTCATTTGGGATGAGATAAAAAAGCAGATTTAAAGAGAGGCCCAACATGCACACATGTAAGACCACTGCTTTTGAGCTGAATCAGAAACATGTTATTATACATTTGTGTGTATAAGTTAGGTACCCCGGCTGACATTTGTGCAATATCTCTAAATTGACTGTTTTAATAATAAATCTTCCGTTCATAAACCACTGGACAATAGATTTATCTAACCTCTGCCTGTAGAGTTGTTTTATCTTATACCTGGAGCACATTTGTGAAGCAGCTGAGTCCGTGTCCAGTCTTCTTTCATCAAACCTTTTATGCACATTTTTTCAAATCTTTGAGATACGGTTGCAACGAACATATCCAGCTGAGGTCAAGCAGCGGTGAATCCTTGTATGATCTCGACACTTATTTGCATTTAAATGTGCTTTTCTATATTTTCTTTGTGTTCATCTTGAGGAGAAGTGAAATCCCATGTTGTAGTAACTATATCTCACAGTATCGAGTGGTGGCACAGGGAGGAATGCAGATACCATCACCGCTCCTTTTGTTTGGTGAATTCACTGCATCGTGTTTCCAGAGCCCCGGCCTCTGATCCAGGTCTGTTGAAGTTATGTTGGCATCGTTTACTGAAGGCTTATTGTGTTTCAGAATAAACTTTGTATTTACATTAGACAGTAGAGCATTGGCCTTATAGGGCCTGGTGGTCATGGGTTCGAGCCCTCCACAAGACCTACTTCACGATTCTCACTGATGTCTGCTGTTGTTGTGTCCTTGGGCAAGACCCTTAACCCACTTTGCCTGAAGCACCTGCTGAAAGATCAAGGCTGTCCTGTGTTCAAGGCCATGATCCTGTGGACTCAGGAGCTGCAGCAGGATCAGTGCCACCCCCGACCCAGGAATGGATCAAGGGGAAGAAAATGGATGAATGGAGTAGTACACAGTGGGAAAGAAAATGTTTAACTTATACCTTTGACCTAATCGCACCTTTTATGGCCACACCACTTGAGAAAGCTAAGCAGGACAGGGCCTGGTTAGTACTGTAATGGGAGATTGCTGGGAACATCAGGTGTGTGTGTGTGTGTGTGTGTGTGTGTGTGTGTTTGTCTGTGTGTGTTTGTGTGTGTGTGTGTGTTTGTCTGTGTGTGTGTGCGTGTGTGTTTGTCTGTGTGTGTTTGTGTGTGCGCGTGTGTTTGTCTGTGTGTGTGTGTGTGTGCGTGTGTGTTTGTCTGTGTGTGTGTGCGTGTGTGTGTGGGTGAGTGTGTGTTTGTGTGTTTTTGTCTGTTTGTCTGTGTGTGTGTGTGCGTGCGTGCGTGTGTGCGTGTGTGTGTGCGTGCGTGTGTCGACGGAGCGGCTGATGGCACACCCTGGTGCCTCATTTCTGTCAGTATGTCCTGGGGCAGCTGTGGCTACAGTTGTTTACCGCCACCATGAGTCAATGAATAATGCAATGTGTGTGTCCGAAAAAGCGCCAGAGATAAAACATATGCATTATTGTTATATTACTTTTTAATTAGTCTTTTTGTCCATTATAAAAACATGCTATAACATATATATATAATTGCAGTCCTTGCGATTGGCTAAATGCGGCGATGAATCGTCCAGTCCTATAGTTGTGTGAACATAAACCACATCTGTCCACTTTAGATATGAGCCTTGTAATGTCCCTGAAACAACACTGAGCTTGATCCAGAGTCTGTGCAGTGTCTCCAGCTTCTATCTGTGAGTCTGTCATTACCTGCTCCATCTCCAACACTTCAGACATTTCACAAAACATAACATCTGTTCACCTGAAACCTCATCAGTGAGATAGATAACACTGGAGCAGAGTAAGAACGATAGAGTAGGTAGAACGATCGAGTAGAACGATAGAGTAGAAAGAACGATAGAGTAGATAGAACGATAGAGTAGATAGAACGATAGAGTAGAACGATAGAGTAGAACGATAGAGTAGATAGAACGATAGAGTAGAACGATAGAGTAGAACGATAGAGTAGATAGAACGATAGAGTAGAACGATAGAGTAGAAAGAACGATAGAGTAGAACGATAGAGTAGAACGATAGAGTAGAAAGAACGATAGAGTAGAACGATAGAGTAGATAGAACGATAGAGTAGAACGATAGAGTAGAAAGAACGATAGAGTAGAACGATAGAGTAGAAAGAACGATAGAGTAGAACGATAGAGTAGAAAGAACGATAGAGTAGATAGAACGATAGAGTAGAACGATAGAGTAGATAGAACGATAGAGTAGAACGATAGAGTAGAAAGAACGATAGAGTAGAACGATAGAGTAGAACGATAGAGTAGAACGATAGAGTAGAACGATAGAGTAGATAGACAGGAATTCTAACATGGTAGAGTTTAATGATCATGATTCAAATATATTTAAATAAAAACACAGGCCATACGTGGCCGAAACACCAACCATTCTCACACACACACCAGACTCATTCTTGACAATGGGGGTGAAGTGTCTTGCTTAAGGACACAACAGCAGTTTTGTACTTTACAGCCGCAGCAGCCCCACTGTGGCACCTGCTGTTCCCAGAGGTTAAGTGTCTTGCCCAAGGACACAACGACAGCAGATGTCAGTGAGAGTCGGTGGAGAAAGTCTTGTGGTGGGCTCGAACCCACGACCTTCAGGCTCAAAGGCCAATGCTCTACCAACTGAGCCACTGTCGCCTGAATATAGCAGCAGGATCCTCGTCTGGTCTTTGTCCGTGTGCATCAAAAGTCCGGTCTTAGTCTCAGTTCCAGGTCCAGTTCCAGTTGTAGACCAAGTCAGACTACACTTCCCTGTATCTTCTGTGTCTGTGTGTGTCTCTGTGTGTGTCTCTCTGTGTGTGTGTCTGTGTCTGTGTGTGTCTCTGTGTGTGTGTGTGTGTGTCTCTATGTGTGTCTCTGTGTGTGTCTCTGTGTGTGTGTGTCTGTGTGTGTCTCTGTGTGTGTGTGTGTGTCTCTATGTGTGTCTCTGTGTGTGTGTGTCTGTGTGTGTCTCTGTGTGTGTGTGTCTGTGTGTGTGTGTGTGTCTATGTGTGTCTCTGTGTGTGTCTCTCTGTGTGTGTGTCTGTGTCTGTGTGTGTCTCTGTGTGTGTGTGTGTCTCTATGTGTGTCTCTGTGTGTGTGTCTCTGTGTGTGTGTGTCTGTGTGTGTGTGTGTGTGTGTCTCTATGTGTGTCTCTGTGTGTGTGTGTCTGTGTGTGTCTCTGTGTGGGTGTGTGTCTCTATGTGTGTCTCTGTGTGTGTGTGTGTCTCTATGTGTGTCTCTGTGTGGGTCTCTGTGTGTGTGTGTCTGTGTCTGTGTGTCTGTGTGTGTGTGTGTGTGTCTCTGTGTGTGTCTCTGTGTGTGTGTGTCTGTGTCTGTGTGTGTGTGTGTGTGTGTGTGTGTCTCTCTGTGTGTGTCTCTGTGTGTGTGTGTCTGTGTCTGTGTGGGTGTCTCTCTGTGTGTGTCTGTGTGAGGTAACGTCAAGTCGGGGAATATTTATAATTCCACTACAGTCTGGATGAAGTCACATTCACAGCATTGATTTATTACCAGTGAACAATAACGTTTTCAATTGTGTCTTAAGGTGGAGTGGGAGGTCCTTTGTTGGAATCAATAGATGTTTGATTTCAAAACCTGTAAACATCATTTAAGATAAGATAAGATGAACCTTTATTAGTCTCACAGTGGAGAAATTTCAGTGTCATTGTTGCACATTACAGCAGAGAAAGGAAATAAGAGCACTCAGACGCACACATCAAAGTCTATTATTTAAGATAAAAGACAATAAATTTAAGAATAAAATAAAATGACATAAACTCTGGGCTATAATTGCACTTGGTTCAGAAGTATTTACAGATGTCTATATTATACATTAGCAGCAGAGAATAAGAGAATATGAGCAGAATAAACATCAGAAATGATATCAACAGGTAAAGTGACTTGAATGGGAGAATATCAGATATGTAATAATACAGTAGTACTGATAACAGGTAAAGTGACTAGTGACAAAGTTACTTGTGAATTATCAGTGACTGATTAGTAAGTAAGTAAGTAAGTAATCTTTATTTATATACCGCCTTTCACAGACCAGAGTCACAAAGCGGTTTACAATTGTTATTATTTTTGGGCATTGGTCCTCTCACTCCACACAGAGATGGGAGCGGGGTCGCCAGTACAGGAGGCACATGCCAGAACTATTGTGCATGTTTTTAGTGGTAGGGGAAACCGGAGTACCCGGAGGAAACCTACGCAGACACAGGGAGAACATGCAAACTCCACTCAGAAAGGCCCTGGTCCGCCCGGGATTCGAACCCAGGACTTTCTTGCTGAGAGGCAAGAGTGCTATCCACTCAGCCACCGTGCCGCCCATTAGCAGTTCCTGTTACACATTCTCGTTGTACAGTCTGACAGCAGCAGGAAGGAGAGCCCTACGGAACCTCTCCTTCACACAGTGAGGGTGAATTAGTCTGTCACTGAAGCTGCTCTCCACAGCAGAGAGAGTGTCCAGCAGGGGGCGACGGTC